AATTTGGCACACTGGACTATAAGCGTATCGGCAAGATCAGAGATTTAGGGCTAACGGCCCGGACCGGTTAGCGACAAGGCTTCGTTCACAGAAGCTGGCGTCGCAATGTAGCCCCAAGGGAGATACAGGCGAACAATCGGTATTGGAGGGCATCGAGAGCAGCGGTCAGGAAATGCATTGCCGGGATAAGAGCATAATCGGCGAGGCAACAAAGGTGTTCCAGGAGGGCACTTCACATATGGAAGACATTGGACTGTTAAACCTGGGTACTGTAACAGCTGGCGACGCCATCTGCAACGAGGGAAGTACTCTAGGCGATGGTGACAACATGGATGGCAACGCGGATGATTCGGATGCAGATATGATCATATCTGATGAAGAAGAAGAGATGGTTGAAGGTGCTGAAGATGGAGGCCTTGAGATGGCCCGGGCCCGTCTCCTTGCACAGCTTGGAGACCGTTTGGTGCATTCTAAGATGGCATCATCAAATACAGCACCTGAAGTAAAGCCAGTACAGGGGTTCAAACAACTATCGCGGGTCGAGGCTGAGATACAACGGCAACAAATGCGTAGGCAGGAGTCTCACAAGGAAGTGGTTCCGCACCCTCTGTCTTCGACTCCCAGTTCGACACGAGCAAGTCAAAATAGGATCGACAATGCTCCCTTGACTGAAGACGAGTGGAACACCAAGGTCACCATCGATATGATCTTGACTGTAGTAGCAGAGTGCTATGGACAGAGGGACCTGCTGAGATTTCGAGACGTGTGGTGAGGGCACACTTAATTACTAGATACCCATACAGATATCTCCACGACTTTTGCTTTCCGCAACAGCTCCATTGCACACATGCAAGTTATCTGTGACGTCGATATGCACGGGCCAAGACGCGAAATAAAGGATCATCTGCGCAGGCGCGCTTGCTCTTGGGCGAACGATTGAGTCACTTTCCGCCCATGCAGCGCATTTCACCCCACTTTGTCTGCCCCGCGCTCCTCCAAGACGCCCTCCGTCTCACTTTCGCCTACAGCAAAATCAGCCCAACGCCAATTCGTCTGCGACTCTCTGCACCCCGCCGCCGGCTCTGCACGCAGGCCCCGCCTTTGGTTGACGACGACATGGGTAAAGAGGACAAGAGCAAGAGCTTCAACTTGAAGGTGCCTAAAGGCACACGCGATTGTATGTATTGCTTTTGCCGTGCAATTGCATCTAAATTCTTCTACTAACAAAACTCAGGGACCGGCGAAGACGCTGCTCTCCGCGACCGGCTATTTCAAACGGTGACTGAAGTCTTCAAGCGCCACGGGGCGACGACACTCGACACGCCCGTTTTCGAGCTCAAGGAGATTCTCAGCGGCAAATATGGAGAGGACTCGAAGCTGATCTACGACCTGCAAGATCAGGGTGGCGAGCTATGCTCTTTGCGCTATGATCTTACGGTTCCGCTTGCACGATGGCTCGCCATGAACCCGAGTGTACAGAGCTTCAAGCGATACCAGATTGCGAAGGTGTACCGGCGGGATCAGCCAGCAATGACCAAAGGTCGCATGCGAGAATTCTACCAATGCGATTTCGACATTGCAGGCTCCTATGACACCATGATTCCCGATGCCGAGGTGCTCAAGATCACAACCGATGTCTTCGATGCGCTAGACTGGGGTTCATATACAATCAAGATCAATCACAGGAAAATTCTGGATGGCCTATTCAAGGCGGCTGGTGTGAAGGAAGAGCTAATACGTCCAATCAGCTCGGCTGTGGACAAGCTCGACAAAGTAAGAAGAAAGCCCTGAGTCCTTTCTCAGCTACTAACGCACTCCAGCTACCGTGGCCGGAGGTGAAGAAAGAGATGGAGACGAAAGGTCTTCCAACAGAAGTCGCAGACAAGATTGGTGAATGGGTACAGCGCAAAGGCGGCGACGACATTATCGAATTTCTCAAAACAGACGAGGTTCTCTCAAAATCCGAGGATATCAGCCAAGGTGTTCGGGAGATGGAGCTGCTCTTCGCCTACCTGGACGCTTTCGGCTCCCGGAAGAGAATATCCTTCGACCTCTCACTTGCTAGAGGCCTAGACTACTACACTGGTCTGATCTATGAGGTTGTCACCGAAGGGTCAGCACCGCGTGTGCAAGGACAGCAGCAAGAGATTGGTGTAGGGAGTGTGGCTGCGGGTGGTCGATATGACCAGTTGGTCGGCATGTTCAGCGGCAAGCCTATTCCTTGTGTTGGCATCTCTTTCGGAATTGATCGAATCATCAGCATCATGAAAGCGCGCGGTCAATCGACACAACGTGCCAAGGACGTTGATGCGTTTGTCATGGCGTTTGGTGGCAAAGGCTTCACGGGCATGCTGACGGAGCGTATGCAAGTTGCACAGGAGTTATGGGCTGCAGGTATCAAGGCCGAGTTTTCTTACAAACTGAAGCCGAAGGTGCAACAGCAGTTCAAGCAGGCCGAAGTGGCGGGTGTTCCACTTGCTGTCATTCTTGGGGAGGACGAGCTCAAAGAGGGCAAAATCAAGATCAAGGTTCTCGGGATCAAGGACGAAAATGACCCGGAGAAGGACGGTGTGTTGGTTGACCGGAGCAACATGGTTACAGAGATTCAGAAAAGGCTGTGAGGGGCAGCTCCAAGGTTGCGGCGAGTGGTAGCATGCGGACTGATAGTGCGTTATAGATACCCATAGACTACTTTCTGCGCACCCACCTTGTTTGGCAATGGGGAAGAATGGGATGTTAGGGGAAAGTTACAATGGCCAAAGCACGTGTGACCGTTTGATTCTTCCAACTGGGCCTAGAAACGTAGTACTTTACGATGACTCTTGCATGTTGGGACTAGCCGGGAGAGACGGAGATGGAAAGAAGAAGATAGGTGGCATCAAGGAGAGTAGCATATGGGGCAGCGGCAGTAACGGAGAGATTTAATGTTCTACGCAATGCATCCATGGCAGTCTTATATACAGACATGCAATAAAGACGGGAAATTCACGGCTCGTCATCAGCAGCTTTCTCAAAGTAGGCCCATACGACGGCGTCTTAGTAGCCATCCTTGCCCCACTTGTTGTAGGTATCGTGGAGTTCCTGCAATATCAGCACAGTCTAGTCTGTGCATTTGAGATTAACGAGTACATACCTTGGGAAGAGTGACGTTGGGGATCACCACGACATTTAGTGCAGAGGGCGCATCCTTCTTGACGCTGGTGTCACCGCCGGGGTGGTACTGGTAAGGGCCTGTGCCGCCCTGCTTCCAAGGCTCGCTGTCTGCGGCCTTGGCGACGGTACGCTCAGACGAGGCACTTGTTGGAGAGCGAGCTTGTGGCTGTCAATATGCTTGTGTGGTAGCAGACGCAGCTAGGGGCTTACAAAAGTGCCATCCTGCAAGACCGAAAACGCCGCTCATGATAGCAAATAGTACATAGAGTTCGGGGTCGCGCTTCGCTCCCGTCTTGAGGGCGTCTTTGCCGGCTTGTCGCTCGCCTTCAGCCGCAGCGCTGGCCCACCGTCGGAGGGCAGGAGTCGGGCGAAGGCGCGGAGCGGCGCGCAAGGCCGAGCGGGCGATGATGGAGGACATGGTGGGTGCAATTGGGCGTGGATAGGCTTGCGAGGGGGCGTAGGTGCGAAAGAAGCGTGCGTTCAGCGCGGACGAGGGCAGCCGTGGTTCCATGTCGGAACTCGCTCGCGGGTCGCCAAGCGTAACGGCTGCGTCAGGACGGCCGTGCGCATCGACCTCTGCCATCACACCTGTATATGCGCCCCTTTCGTCAAAACAACACAGCCTGTCCATCCTCCGCCACGCCCCGGCCCCGCAGTCTTTCCGCTCCCTCGCTTGTTGATTGACAGTCGCTCTTTCCTTCGCAATCAGCCGTTACTGCCTGCGCCGCCTGCTCCGCGCATTCCCTAACCGATGTCATGCTGCTGGTAAACACAGCAACTCCGCCGGCGAAAACTACACCATGGCCATGACGCCATCCGAACAGAAGCGCAGCTCCACGGGCAGCCGCGTGCTGGGCATGACGGGCCCGCCAGGCGAGGCTGGGCTGCCGCCCTCGCGACCCTCGTCCATCGCGACAGCCAACTCGGGCAGCCAGAACAGATGGTCGCAAGTCAGCCCAGCGCGACGTGGAGGTGGCATGAGTGTGGCTGGCAGTCTCGGACACCACAGTCGACCAGGCACGGCGGCCAGCAGAACCCACGTGCCGCTCGCTGCCCATGGTTTCTTTCGTCCCATGAGCTCGCAACGCCTTCAGCAGCAGCGCAACCAGCGCCCCACGTCGCTTCTCGGTCACAGCTCGCTCTACGCGGATCCCGCCCTCGAGTCAGCCCGCAGCTCATATCGCCAGAGCGCAGGGTCGGCGCAAACCATCCGGGGCGCGTCAGGCCTCCATCACGAGCTGGACCTGCAGCCTCCACCTTCGCGCGGGACCGACATCACCGACCGAGACATGCCCGATCGCACCACGGCCAACACCACGCCCACCGGTGCCGAGACAGTGCGCAGCCGTGGCGAGAGCATCACTCCTCTGCAGCGCCCCAGGCCACAGCACCTAAATCTTGCAAATGTCCATGATGCCAGGCTCCCCACACCAAGCAAATCTCCGCGCTCCTTCAGGTCCAGCTTCATGCTCTCTAGTCGCGACGGTCGCTCGGCGCAGATGCGACCGCATCAAGGGCACGAGAAGCTCACGTCTGCCGAGTCATCCCCCCGCCTCTCACGGAGGGAGGCTACCAAGGAAGCCGTCAAGAGGGAGCTGGGCAAAAACTACCAGTACTTCTCTGGCAACACGGCCTTCTGCTGGGGTGGTCGATTACAAAACACGCGCGACCGGCCGGTTAATGTAGCAACGGCAATTCTTATTCTTCTGCCCGCTGGTCTCTTCTTCGGATTTTCGTACGTACAGGCCCCCTACTACTCACGCTCGTCCCGCTAACCGCTTCTATAGGGCACCGTGGCTTTGGCTCCATGTTTCCCCCTCGATACCCATTCTCTTTGCATATCTGCTTCTAGTCTCCTTTTCGTCTTTCATGCATGCTTCTGCCTCAGACCCGGGCGTATGTTGCACCCTCTCCTCGTCTCGGACATTGCTAATCTGCCCAGATACTCCCCAGGAATCTACATCCGTTTCCTCCGCCTAATCCTAATGAAGACCCCCTCAGTCTTGGTCCTCCTACGACTGAGTGGACCATGGTCGTCTCCGCCACAGGCACCAACGCCGCCATGGAGGTCCCGACCAAGTACTGCAAAAGCTGCAACATCTGGCGACCTCCGCGTGCCCATCATTGCCGTGTGTGCGACAACTGCGTTGAGACGCAGGACCATCACTGCGTTTGGCTTAACAATTGTGTCGGGCGCCGTAACTACCGCTATTTCTTCGTCTTCGTCTGTGCCACGACTTTGTTAGGCCTCTTTCTTCTTGGCGCTAGTTTGGCACACATACTAGTTTGGCGGGCACAAAACGGCGCGTCGTTTGGCGCGGCGATTGGCCGGTGGCGTGTTCCCTTTGCCATGTGTATATACGGGCTTCTCGGATGGTCATATCCCTTCAGTCTGGGCGTGTATCATTTGTTCTTGGTTGGAAGGGGCGAGACAACACGTGAGTATTTGAACTCTCACAAGTTCCTCAAGAAGGACCGACACAGACCCTTTACCCAGGGCTCTGTTTTCAAAAACTGGGCTGCCGTGTTGCAACGCCCACGTCCGCCGACATATCTGCGTTTCAAACGCAAATACGAGGAAGGCGACCAAAGGTTCGGTCCGCGCAAGGACAAGCGAACCGCGCCTTTGGCTCCAGAACAACAGGGCGGGGGGTTGGAAATGCAGGATGTACGCGCATCAGAGGGCTTCTCAGGCCCTGCTGGTCGGACAGTACGTGATGATGCAGAAGCGACGGTGAACTAAGTGTATTCGGACGGCTGGCTTCGTTCTGTTTATCAAGATAACATGGCTGCTCCGAGCTATAGCTCCTTTGTAATATATATGCGCATGGCCAAGTAGCCATATGTAAATGAAAGCAACAGTGAGATATGATGGCTTGTTGTGAGAGAATGCCGACAAGATAATCCTGTGCATAACGGCCGTGCCTCTCAGTGTGTGACCAGACGGAATGCGAGGGTGGTGGTGCTGGGGAGACAAGAACAGGCTAATTGGCTGACTGACTAGCTACATATGTTTACCTCCCCAAACCTCGAACCGTCAACCCACCACTCAATCTGGCACATCGCGCATGTCAATGAATGTTCTCTGTTTCTTGTGAGGCCGATTGACCGTCGTACATACTTCCACGGTTGCTGTTCGTATACTGCGCGTGCACTTTGGCAGTGTCGCTCCGTGAACGCCCGTTGAGCCGCCCAAACCGTCGACCTCCTCAGCGCGTCAGTGCCTCGCCCCTCAAGACCACAACCACGACGCGCGCTATTACCTCGCCCACCCGCTATCATGACTGATCGCCATCTTTCCCCGAGTTCAACATCCTCGACCCTCTCTAACATTACCGTGCAAACGGATAAGCAGCCGGATGCCCGCGCCATGTCGAGCGCGTCACCGTCCATTTCCACGCCTCCCACCAGTCTCGGCGACGAAGCCAGCGTGCTATCTGAAGCAACAAAAGTCGAACATGCTGTCGAGGTATACGTAGAGGCCCCCGCGCCACCGCAGCCCAGCGAGACGGCCGCGTCAGCGCAAATCACGACACCCGCTCCTGCCAATACCGAGGGCCGCCGGCCTGCGAGAAGCTCGCGCAAATCCGTCACGACGTACAATGTGCAGATCCTGGCCGGAACTGCCATTCATACGCCCACAAAGTATCTCGAGAAGCACCACAAGAACGTGGTACATGGTTCTCTCGAGAATCTCATTGATAAGGATCACGGCTTGCCTCCAAAAAAGAAGATACGTAAGCCAAAGCCTGAGACGACAGATGCCAGCGATCAGATAGAGCAACAGCTGGCCGTTGAGGCTGCTCAAGCAGCACGACGTCGCACCTCCTCGCGCGTGACTGATCTCCGTAAGGAGCTTCTTCGCAATATATCCGGTGTGACAGATGCAGGTGTGAACATTGTGGCAGAAGGAAAGGCACTGCTCCATGGTACCCTTCGGCGCAGTACATCAGAACCACACCTCAAATCTGGTCAATCAGCTTCGGCTTCTCTGAAGCGCTCACGCGCTGCAATGGAAGATGGAGGCGATTCCGAGAACAGCAAATCAGAAGACAAGATTTTTGCCAGGCCGAAGTCGAAGGTTTGGCTTAAGCAAGGTCTCTATGTTGGACAGGATCGCGATTTTGACCCCCGTCTCTCAGAAAGCCAAAATCGCGCAAAGAAGAGAACTAAGAAACCAAGAGAGGACAATGTACTACCCCTCCCCATCTTTGCCTGCGAGCGCCTCCTTAACGAGGATCCGCGACACGTATTCCGGGACTTCAAGCTGCCATTCGACACATACAGTCCCCTGCCCCGCAAGGTCAAAGTGGACGGCTGGGTCAAGCTCAACAAAAGTAAGCCGCCAGTGCTTTTTTACTACTGAGGTATTAACGTTTTGTAGATAGGTTTATTGGTGACGCATCCGCCCTGTGGAAGCGCGACAAACAAGACTCTTCTCAGTGCTATTGCGATGTGGAAGATGGTTGTGGAGAGGCCTGTCACAACCGGATCATGGCGTACGAGTGTGACAATACCAATTGCCCATTGCCCCCTGAACAATGCAACAATCGACCTTTTGCAGAGCTCAAGCGCCGTTCTAAAGGCAACCGTTACGATTATGGTGTCGAGGTTCTGGATACCGAGGATCGCGGTTACGGTGTGCGTGCTATGAGGACTTTCGAGCCGCACCAGATCATTGTGGAGTATGCCGGAGAGATCATTACACAGTCTGAGTGCGAGCGGCGCATGAAACAGGTATACAAGAAAGACAAAGTGAGTAATAGACCCTCAACCCATTTCGATTCATATGCACTAACCAGCAGCAGTGTTATTATCTTATGAGTTTCGACAACAAGATGATTATAGATGCGACTCGTGGAACCATCGCTCGCTTCGTCAACCACTCGTGTGAGCCCAATTGCGAGATGATCAAGTGGACTGTTGGCGGAGAGCCCCGGATGGCACTGTTCGCAGGTCCTCGCGGCATCATGACTGGCGAGGAGTTGACGTACGATTATAATTTTGAGTAAGTCAACTTCCATGCTCTATGCGCTAGACTTTTCTGACCTTTGCAGTCCGTTCTCACAAAAGAACATCCAAGAGTGTCGCTGCGGTACTGAGTCGTGTCGTGGCGTGCTTGGCCCCAAGCCGAAGAAACCTGTGGAAGACAAATCTGTCGCCTCGAACTTCATCACCGGTACTAAGCGCAAGCTTCAGGACTTACTCGGAGCGAAGAGGTCAGGTTCTGAGAGCAGCCATGGGTCTCCTAAGAAGCGCAAGATGTTTGGCGAAACCTCTGCTATGGTGAAGGCAAGAAACGCCCTTATGCGTTCAGAGTCCGCCCGCGATCGAGCTGAGCGAGAAGCAAACGAGCTATCACGCCAGAACGCGTCCCGTGAGAACCGCGCCCTCAAACGATCAACATCTGCAAACACTGTCAAACACGCACGGCCGGCTAAATCACGGGCTGCCCAGTCAACCACGGTCAGACATACACGACATACGAAAGTCAGCTTTCAACACAGGACATCGAGGCCAGGTGCGTTGAAGGTGGTTAAAAAGTCTTCCGGGGCAACTTCTGCTCCCCAGCGCACGGATTCAAAATTGAGCAACAGAAAAGGACTTCGGTCACTCCAACGACCAAGCACACCTATGCAGGAGACTGGTACCGATATTTCCGATTCAGAGGAAGACGCGTCTCCAAACATTACTCCTGCTTCTTTACGCAGCGCATCCAGGAAGTCAACTCAACTTAGTCCTATGATGACGCACTATCCAGCGAAGAGCAAAACTCGCAATGTTCAGGGAAACCGATTGACATGAGCATCGACTGTAGTGCATGGGGCCTTATACCGGTATCTTTTCATTGTCATGTTTCTGGTCCAGTATGAGATTAGATCACTGTTATCGGCTGTTTCTGATGGATGTATTGGGAGATGGGGATATATTACATTAATTTTTTTGAACTTTGGCCGATCATGTAACTAGTGATATACGGTACACTATGAGTAGTCAATCATAGTTTCTCCAGCCTTGATATCATCCATGAATCTCAACAGCATTGTCGGATGTATCAATTATCAACCAAAATGGTGTACCCTGTCTTCGTGATTGAGTCAAGGTAGCCCCAACAAATAAAAGAAATAATGTGGTGATGGATCGTTCGAAACTTGTTCAGACCATATATCCTCGTGTATGAAGCTGGCCGTACAAACGTTCGATTACATTCACAGAACAAATTCAACCAGAAACTCATATCGATAAAATATATATTCTTAAGCTCTTTCGGAACATCCCCTTCCGTTAGCCCAACCAACAGAAGTCAGAGTTCATCCATCAAGAACTGCTATTGACAAAGATCAATCCATAAAAAAAAGCCTCACTATCCATCAAACACGATAACTGAATGTCCCAGCCGTATGTGAGGGTCATTGCCCATCTAGGAATATTGCCCTGGTGTCAGAGTGGTTTTTGATGTAATTGTGTGAGGCGGTGAGAAATGGTGTCGCCAAGTACATATGGGGATTTGTTGTATGTAAAAGGTGACCACCCTCCGTTATTATAGAATGTCGAGACCGAAGTGAAGTGGTGTAGTCCAGATTTGTGATCTTATCTCGAAGTTGTCTGGCCTTCGCAACTCCGAGCGTCTCTCCGACGTAAAAGATTTAGCCGACGATACATTGAGGGGCTCTGCCAACACCGCCGCGCTGAACGGTGCATTGGGGGGCTCTGCCAACACCGCCGCGCTGAACGATGCATTGGGGGGCTGCTCCTACGCCACCGCGGGCGACAGTGCATTGAGGGACTCGTCCTACGCCGGCCATTTTGAAGATTTGATTGGGTGGGGTGGTTGAAGTAAAGAGTGTTTTTAGAGCTTGAAGTGATTGAAGGACTGTATGTCTTGATGGTACAGAGAATCATGTTGGAAGGGCATCGGATTAAATATATACTCCAACTGAAGGCGAAACGAAACAAAGAACCTGACTTGTGTGCCCGGGGGTCTAGACTCAAGCCTAGAATAGTGAGCAGTAGGTGCTTATGGACTTTACTATTGTTCTCAGTCAAAATAGATAATGCCAAGTAACAGTCGTGTCATTGTATGAGCGCCTCATGGCCGAAATCCAGTTTTCCGCTTTGTTCATATGTCGTTAACAAAGAAATTCGGGACAACCGAAACGCCGTGGCGCTTCCACGTCGTATTTTCAAGGACAACCCTTATGTTCGATGCATTGTCTGCGTCGTTGTGACGAACGAAGACATTGCATCCTCAATAAACGAGCGAGTTACGATGGGAGTCTCATATCCAGTTAAAGCCAACATTGAAGGCTTGTATCTAATCTCGAGCAAACGATGGGCGTGCGCACAAAAGGCTTGAACTCCTTTTTTATTGCAGGTTCCTTAGAAATCCGGTAGAGGGGGTAGTTTTCATGCTGCTAACGTTGTTGAGACAAAGGTATCAAAGCCCTGAAAGCACATATATGTTGCTCCATACGGCCTGATTAGATAGTTATGTGGAAGTGGGGGCGAGTACCACATGGCTTGTGTCCGTCATGGCTCCTTCAGTCGCGTATATCGAATTTTGACGCAAGGAGAGCCTGTAACTATTTTGGGGTCTGATAATTGGTGGGCCATGACCTCCCTGCAGATACGGTAATACGCATGTGCTAGCCATACCGGTAGTCATATGCGAGATAATCAAGTGGGGGCGTCTTGACGGATGACTAAGGACAACCCCTAGTTACCCGCTTTGCGTACCAGAAGTACTATACCGCAACCACGAATCGATAGCCAAAATCACCATGATTCGAATGCAGGTAGCTGGGCTACTCCCGCGCAGCGGCTACCGCGCGCCTCTACGCCGAGCATTCCAAACAGCTGCTGCATCCGCTACACGCTTATCTGATTTTGCATTCGCTTTCGAGTGAGGCAGCCATGCCATCAGCATCTCAACATCGCAGCTGACGGCTGTCAGTATCGACGGAGTGCTTCTTAGAAGTGCTGACGCCTTGCCACGAGCCCACAAGACTCTGTCATATCTCCAATCGCAGCGCATTCCCTTCATCCTCCTTACAAACGGTGGTGGCAAACATGAGTCTGAGCGTGTCGCGGATCTAAGCAGCAAGCTCAACGTGCCTATCGATACATCCATGTTCATCCAGAGCCACACCCCCTTCGCCGATATGGATCACCTTAAAGATAAAACTGTTATGGTAGTTGGTGGGGTGGAAGACAAGTGTAGGATAGTTGCTGAGGCGTACGGGTATGTTGGATGAGACTACCTGCTGCCGTATATTCTGACAAACCTACTCAGTTTTAAGACAGTAGTCACTCCAGGTGACATACTAGTTGCTAACCCAGAGATATGGCCCTTCTCTCAGCAATTGCTTCCATACTACAAGACCTTTACACGCTCGCTGCCGGCTCCCATCAATCCTAGCACACCGTCAGAATCGCTCCGGATCGATGCGGTCTTCGTCTACAACGACCCCCGCGACTGGGGCTTGGATGCGCAAATCATAAAGGACGTTTTGCTGTCAGAACGGGGTATTGTTGGAACACTGTCTCAGAAGAACGGTGATGCTGCTTTGAAGAATCGTGGGTATCAGCAGGATGGTCAACCCATGCTCTATTATTCAAATCCAGACCTGCTGTGGGCAGCCAAGTACCACCTTCCGCGATTGGGCCAGGGAGGGTTCCGTGAAGCTTTCGAGGGTATATGGACAGCGATAACTGGCGGTGAGAAGCAGGGTGTCAAACTAGAAAAGGTCGTGATGGGAAAACCGCACCAGCCTACTTACGAGTTTGCTGAAAAGCGCCTAATTTCACATCGAAAGCATCAGATGCAGGGTTACGGTGGCGCTCTTGGAAATTTCAAGCGCGTATACATGGTTGGCGACAATCCTGCCAGTGACATTGCTGGCGCCAATAATTACAAGAGTATATATGGCACAGATTGGGCTAGCATCTTGGTGGAGACAGGTGTCTACACAAAGGGTACAACACCGGCGTCTCAGCCGCGCAAGATTGTCGGCGATGTATGGGACGCTGTCGCGTGGGCTGTTGCACAAGAGAAGTGGACATCTTGAGATTATAGCTACGCTTGAATGTGCTACCACATAGATCCTTCACCGATCCATATAAGCTCAATGCTGCATTAAATATCAATTAAAACAGGGGACATGCATTAAGCCATCTCTGGCTCCCCAGCCCCCTTGTTTAAGTGGACGCCTGTAGGGCACAGAAAGAAGAAACATCGGCACCGTAGTAAAATCACTGTGCTAGCCACTGCACGAACCTGTTGCACGAAATTTGTAAGTAATCACTTGAAGATAGCGGGGGCGGGGAACGGATCTTACATCAAATCCCCTGGTCCGAGCTGCTCACCCGAGGCGACGGCTTTACTGTCGATAATCATGCCGGTTTCAAGGTTCCGCGCATAGATGAATACGTTCCTGGTCTTTTGATTCGCAACTGCAATCATAGAGCCATCTTTGTTCATCTGGAAATGGCGAGGGTAGACTCCACCGGTTTTCGCAAGCTGAACGAATGATAGTTTTCCATCAGACGACGGCTTGAAGGTGACGAGTGAATCACTCGGAAGCAGGGTGCTGTTGTTTGGATCTGGGTTTTCGACCGTGAAGATTGTGCCGCCACGGTTTCCTGCGACTACGAACTTGTTGTCGGGCGATAGCGATATCTCAGAAGCGAACGTCTTTGCTGGAACAGTTTGGTTGCCATACGTGCTGACATCGTCGACTTGGGTGAAATTGAGACCGCCGCATTCGGGATAATCCACTTTGTAGCTTACAATCCTGCTGCTCAATTCGTGGACTACGAAAAGGAATGTAGTGCCCGGCTGGCCTCCGGTCCAGAAAACAGCATGCCTTGGTCCGTAACCTTCTGGGGCCTTGAGTGGCTCATGCTCGGTCAATGAGGACGAGGCAGGGTCAATGCAGTAGACGTGGGTTGCGTTCCCACCGAGACTTGGGAAGATCATGTACTGTCCGGTGGGGTCGAGAACTGCTTGATGAATTTGCTCGGGTGCCTGGAAAGTAATGTTCTGGAGAGCGCGAACTGAGCCGTCGGTATTGATACCGTACGTCGTGATAGCGGGAGGGCTATACTATTGAGAGGTAAGTATTTGATCATGTGCGATTCTGAAAACGAATACGTACGTGAGCAAGAGCTAGTGCTGATTTGTTGTTGTACGTTGCTAATGATACTGCACCTGGCAGCGCACTGCTGCGGGAGGTCTTCTTAACGCTACCATCAGATTCAACACTCAAAGTTGTAAAATTGGCGTTGGCTCCAGATTCGTCAACACAGAACAGCCTTGCCGCACCGAGGGACATGTCCAGCCATGTGGGCAGTCCTCCGCAGTCATGATTCTCGTGGATAACCCCTAGTTTGCGGCTAGTGTTGTTGTCTGCTCCAGGTAGGAACTCGAGCGTCTGGACAGCGCCGGCGCTGGTCTCGTTTCCGTAAGAAGCTAGGAGTAGCCGCTCGGCGGACGCCTGCAAGCTGCAAACCGCCAACACGAGAAATATACTCTTCATGCTTAAAGAAAAGACAAAAATCGTGAACTTGGAAGAAAAGAAGATTGTCGAGGAGCAGATGGCGCGTTCTCGTAAATCGTGGGGAACTGGGGTTAAATACAAAGTACCTGAGTAAGTATGACAATAAGGTTGCGGACCGACTGGGGCCAAAGCTCTATACATGAGACACGAAGCGCGTAAATAAAGGGCTTGCTGACATTCACGCCAAGCGCCTATCAATATCTACGCGCTGATATGCTAGCATTCACCAGAAGTGAAACACGAGCGCATGCTGATAGCAAACGGAAGTGTAGACGCGTTAGTAGCACCCAGGGACGTGTTTCGCAGAGAGCCTGACAATGTGTTTGCCTGTATTGCACGGTCGTGGAATCAATCCAATTCTGTGAATAAAATGGCTGCATTAGGTGTGTTTGGCTGTCGAGAAATTCCGGTGAAGAAGCGCACAACGTGAAGCTCATCAGCCATCTCACTTTCGGATGGACTCGTACCACCATAGGTAGAAATCGAGCCATGTATCTTTCTCATAATGATATAATTGATACCGTTCCAGGAGATCGTACGTATGATATAATTAGTAGTGCAACTCCTCTGTTGTGGGGTGGAGGTAACTTCCTTTCACATCGCTCCTTGCTCCTTCCTCGTGTAGTAACTTCCTCTTGATGCCACACTCGTCATAGCGTCATGACCCGCTTTGCTGCGTTTGGTATCTTGCCAACATGTATACTCGACAGAAAACAAATGTCTTCACCTCTTACTTCTGGTATCAACATAGACTGAGCCATCATAGTATACTGGGAACAAGCTGGCGGTAAAGTCTAAATCTCGAATCGGCCGATACGGTCAGCAATTCTACAATCGAAATTTCGATAAGGCGTTTGCTAATAAACTCCCAGGTCGCCTAGGCCCTGCTACAGTGCACAGTGCACGTAGCCGCGAACACTCATACTCACACATTCGCGTCGTACCGCATACGGATACTTGCAGCACACTCCACGAGGAGCTTCCAGTATTTCAATCACCGTCACTACAGTTCTCCCCACCACACGAACTGCAGAACCTTCCCGTCAAAGAAGTCTACACGGAGTCCCAGGAAGCGCGCCTACCAACGTTTGCTGACATGGCACGACGCTATAATCACAAGGACCATCACAACGGACTTCCACAGCTAAATACCAACACTGGCTTGCCTATGGGGTTCGTCAAGCTACAGCCAACCCACAAAAAATCCAGTGGGACGTGGCGCTCGATGCAGGCGAGCGATACAGACGAGAATGAACACGATCACGTATTCGGAAGACTGCCTGACCCGATCCATCTACACGAAAAGACAGGTACCTTCGACGGGCAAGTCCTCTTCGTCGGTCACCCGAACAGAGATGTCTCGGCTCATCAGTGGTCGTCCGCATCGTTTCAATGGGTCAACATTGGACGGTACGCCCACTCGTGCAGCAGGATTGAGGGGTCTCTTGCCTCCGATTGTGTTCAGGGATATGCAATGACTTATGATTCATTGCAATCTTTCAAGCTGGCAGCCCACAACCGTGAAAAGCACATTGTAGAAAACGGCCGACCACAAGAGACATCCAGCGAAGAACTTCACTCGACAAACATGGAGACCGTGCGAGCAGTCCCGTCATCTAATGCTCCAAGTTCGATCGCACCATCTGAGTTTGTAGCAGACGACTACAAACAATCAGCATCATCATCGCTACACGGTGCAGTCCGTAAAGATCACTTGGACGACCCGTTCGTTGCTTACACGAAGCCATACACTCCGAACACCCAACCAACAGCGCGCTCTCTGTATCATCTTCCAGGCCCTACGGTGGCGAACCCGCATCAGATGAAACCAGTCCTGAGTCCCTCCATCCATCCATATATGAAACCACCTCGGATGACCCATACCACGGAAGCAAGCGGCTCGAACGCAACGGTTATGAGCGCCACTGCTGTTCCACTGAGCTTTAGCGATCCCGATGGCACCAGGACCACACAAGAGTATGTGCCCGTAAACGGACTTGGTCGACAGGCACCCACTGTGCAGAACTTCAGGGGACCTTTCTTCACGGACACGATACCAACTACAAGTGATCCTACCGCTTTGCTATCAGTCCACATCAGCGAGGAAGAGAAGCTGTTGAGTTGGTTCCATGACGGACACCGACCTGCTCGACAACAAGAGTATGCCAGGACTTTAGTTTCAGCAGCAGTATCCAGTGACAGGTATCGATCCTCTATGATAGCCCAAGGAAGCATCACAAAACAGGCCGAGGAAAGATATGCGAACACTTTCGCCTTTGTTCGCGTCTACGAGACGCTCTCAGAGTATGCTGAAGAGCTTCGCAGCGACAGTGGACGATCATATTTCACGCGAAATTGTAAACTATAGCGCGGGGCTGGATACATTCAGAAACGATAGGTACTAGAACATGTGTTCCGGCTCACACAACAAGCAGTCGACGACTAGTGAGTGAGAGGGAAGCGGATTGAGTGATAGGATTCCAAGGGTATTATTCCAGGCATACGTGTCTTACAGACCATGGAGGAATGCGGAGCCGGATATAATGTAATAATGTATGATTCACGTGCCCTTTCAGGGAGCGTCAATGAGTATGGAAGGCACTCAGCCACAGAATCGGTAGAATGAAGACAAGAACATTTTAAGAGGTTCCAATTCCATATAAAAAACAAGTGCAACAGCGCCTTCTTCGGTAGTTGTTGTATGCGATGGTGGCCTACTTTGGAGTTGCTGATATCTCGGCCTTTATCGGGGATAAGCTCGAACTGCACTAGTGCGTCATATGATTCTCATCTCACCCGTGCACTCGCATCCTACTCGATCATCAACCTCAAAGGCCACTTAATTGATCATAGTTGGTACAAGCTATAACACAGGCCATGGGCTATGCGAACTATCTTCCGGACGAATTACTGCTCGAAATTGTGGCGCATACCAGAACTTGGGAAAGACATGAGCGGCAAGCAGTCCTGGCCCGCTTCTCGGCAGTCAATAGGTAATTAGCATACCACTGTAAAGATTAACTGCATAAGCTTACATATACAGGCAATGGTACGACGTATGTTATAGCCACATACTGCCCGTTTGATTGACCTCTACTAACATGCATCTCGATCCTTAGGTGGCGATCCGGCAGTTATACGAGTCACCATATTTGTCTGGAGGCGCATACGATCTTTTCGTACGCACAATATGCCCTTCCGTTATGGCGCGTATAAAGGTAAGCCGAGCTGTGCCAAGTACCTTTACGGGTGTTTGCTAATGTTCTCAAAAAGCCGACGGCATTGGCCGGGTTGGTGAAGGAACTTGACTTGTCACATATTGTACACCAAGGCAACAAATCTACCACAGCCAGACTGCTAGGCCGAACGAAGGCTTCACTGGAAGTATTTGTGGCGCCACAAGCCAGTTTCGCCATCAACTGCTGGGCTAGCCTGAGCAAATGCTCTCGTTTGCGCGTCCTCGATTTGAGCCTGTGAGCTAGCACGAAATGATGGAACTGATAGACAACTGTACTAACATGAAGTTCCAGGGTCTCTGAATGCATCAATTTCCAAAGCTTGAATCAAACCATCCGCCAACTGGTAGACTTGCGGGAGCTCTGCCTACCCCGTTGCTCGTCAAGATACGAACAAGCAGGCCCATCCACCAACGTCCGCTGGCCACCAAAGCTCCAACATCTTTCTCTATCTGGGTCTGTGTCAGGCCAGTTCCTATGGGATATGCTACGCCAACCTGATAACTTCCCCCCGACATTCTCTTCGCTCAGTATACATCACAGCCCGGGCTTAGACCAGTACGTCTCACTATTCACATGACAACACATGACCAGTGCTCGATTTGCTAACGCACATGTACAGGCAAGGCATCAAGCCACTACTACTAAGTTTAGCAAACACACTAACCGTAGTCGAACTGCGCGACCTTCCAGCCGTCAAACAAGGCCGCTTCAACTCCGTACTCGATTGGCTCCCAAACGTCACCTCGCTCACCATTGCCCTCGACTACATTGACACCCGTTTCGGTAACATGCCGTTGGATTTCTCCCCTGCCCGCTGGCGCGAGGCCAAACCACTGCGCAGTCTGACCATCATGGCGTGTGGGCGTTCAGGCGACCCTTCACGTAGTTTTACCATGACGGACTTGTACTCATTGATGGACGAGCGCTTCTTGGGCCGTTTGCGTTATCTGAATATTGGACAGAGTACGGAGTGGGACAGGGAGGTGGAGGTTTTGGGCGCGTTGGAGTCCTTGCTTGTAGAGGAGTTGGACAAGGAGAATTGGGTCGAAGGCAGATGGCACTATGAGGGTGTGGTGTCGCCGGGCATACGAAACATGGATTACGAGACATGGATTACTGAGACTGCGATTGGGAGGAAGATGAGACCTCGGTTTCGCGTCTTGAAAAACCGATGAACGACAGTTATTTGACGTTCTCGATATTGATTGAGTCATTGTAGTATATGATGTATTTAAAGCTCTAGGTTTTGAATATTTTCGATAAGCTTACACCGGGTACAGCCAAACAATGTGCTTTAGATGAAATCGCCATTTGTATCCTTTCACTTTTCATGACTCAGAATGATGTCCTAGATTCTAGCATGACCCATTCAAAGCCACTTGCTTAGTAGATGAACATTAGCTACTAGGCTTCAAGATTCGAAAAGACTCTAAGCACTGCCGTTCGCCTTGCTTCCCTGGATAATTCCACGAATGCCACCCTTTCCGCCTACTTCGCGAATGACAGCGTTTATGCTTAGGTCCGCGGCAATGTTGATCTGCACTTCGACCTTGCCGCCCTTCTTGACACCGCGGATGGCGGCCTCACTAAGGACCTGGCCAACCTTCCATGTCTTTTCCCGGATCTCCTCCTCCTCCTCTTCACTGTCATCATCGTCGCTGTCCTCATCCTCCGCGTCCTTTTCGGCCTTGGGCTTGGGTTCTGGTTTTGTGACCTTGATATGCCTTGAGCCCTCGGCGAGTTTGATAAGCACATCACCGCCCTCTCGGGGAGTTGAGATGGTTGCAGTGCGTCGGACGGGTAGTGGTGTCTCAGCGTCGATGATGGCATGAAATCTACCCGAGGATTCATCGCCAGAGATGCATAGCACACCAACAGCGGTAGAAAGGTGAGGTGTGACTGTGACCATGGGATGTGTGCTCTGCTCAATGTCCTCAAGCTCAAATTCTTGAATAAGGCTGGCCTGAATGGCAGCCCCACGAACCGCGAGCTCCGAAGGGTTGATGGCTGTCGAGGAGGTGGAGGGGGCAAGGACAACGGTAGACTCTGGGAAAGCTGAGCGCACGGTGGAAGCGACCTTGGGAGTGTGAGAGTTGCCACCGGCCAATACAATCTCGGATATGTCGAGCGGGTCCAAATTGGCCTTCTCAACAGCGTGCGTTACAAGGCGGGCGAAAGCAGCGAACAGCTTGTTACCCAAAAGGTCGTACCGGGTACGGTTAATAGTCGCAGTAAAGTCGGTGCCGCCCACTAAGCTCTCAACAGAGAAGTTGGCGGTTGTGCCAATAGAGAGAGCCTTCTTGACGGCTTCGCACTCGAGCTTGAGCTTGGCCAGCGACCTCTCGTTCTCCCTGGGGTCTCCAGCGGATTTGTGCTTCTTTATGAACTCCTTGGCGAAGTGGTCCATGAGGACCTGGTCGAGCTTAAAGCCACTGACTTCATAGTCGTGAAGGGTAGCGAGGATGGTGTAGATGCCTCCACGCGATGCGACGACGGCGACGTCAGAACGGGTACCACCCAAGTCGGCGACTACGATGATCTTGTCTGACAGCTGCGCACCAGGACGGGCGTCGTATGCCAGGACAGCAGCAGTGGGCTCGCTGATGAATTGGAGGACTTGCATGCCAGCATTTGTTGATGCCTCCTTGAGCGCCTCCTTTTGAGCGTCGGTGAAGTTTGTGGGTACGGTGATGACGGCAGCGTTGACATCCTTTCCAAGGTAGTCGGAAGCAGAGCTGCGTAGTCGCTTCAAGTGGCGTGTGGTAGCCTCGATAACGGAAACGGTGTTCTCCTTCTCTTCGCTGGTGTCGCGGATGCTGAAGGCCACGGTATTCTCGTGCTCGATGGGATGCGCTGACTGGTGGCAGGGTGAGGGGTCTATCGATTTGTAGCTGCAAAGTGTCAGCCAGGCGACTACGAGGATGTGGTTGTGCCTACTCTTGACCGAGGAAATCGCGGAAGTAAGCGACAGTGTTCTTCGCATTGCGGACGAACTGGCTCTTAGCCTGTCCACCATGAAGTTCTTCACCCTCGACGTAGGACAGGGCAGTGGGAATCTGGCGATCTTGCAAATGTTAGCGGTTGAGCGTTAGCGAGCATATCAAGCAACGCACCTCCGTCTTCGTTGGCGATAACCTCTGCTTTGCCTTCCTGTTTCGTGTCAGGAATGTCCAAAATGCATGATACTTTCATGCAGCACTCACACCAGACGTAAAGGCAATGGAACTGTATGAGTTGCCAAAGGAGATTCCAATCGCGACTCGCTGCGCGGGGTCCGTCTGCGCACTCATCTTGAGCGGGCACAATTGTGGAGATGGAAAGTGAATTCAAAATTCAAAGACAGGGCGTGCAAGCGTGAGAGAAGAGCACAGCGACGGAAAGTTTGAGGATGCCCAATTGGTGATGGCAGTCCCAAGACGTATATTTCTTCGCGGCTAACAAATTCAATGTCGGCGAACGGTACGGAGGTGCATTTTTCTCGGAAGCGCACGGACCTTTTCGGAATGAGCTCACTTGCACATGCGCTCGAGTAGCAAGTTGTTTGTACAGCGACATGACCTTTTCTTCTTTGCGCATCATGGCTGCCACAATCGTTCTGCCCGGCGACGATATCTCGAAGAGCGCATTGCCCACGGGAACAGGAAAGAAGAAGACTTTGACTTTGGGCCCCGGTCTGCGACACACGCCTCCCGACACGGTCACGGCTACGATCGCAGGCGCGCTGGTGACGGACAACAAGAAGAATGCGGCTTCAGTAGAGTCCAATACAGGAAGGGTAAGACGTGCGATCTTTTGCGCTGCTTCTACCAGTCTTTTGACACAACTGCAATAGTATCGTCCTTTTACAGGCGACCTTGTAATAGCGACCGTCAATGGCTCTGCCGCCGAGAACTTCAACTGCCTTCTCACCCCGAACACGCCGGCGGTGACGCTCCCTCACTTGGCATTTGAAGGTGCGACCAAGAAAACACGCCCCCAGCTTCCGCCAAACTCACTGGTCTACTGTCGTATTGCCAGCGCGGGCAAGGATCTACCCTCAGAACTCACCTGCGTCGATCCTGCAACCGGGAAGGGAGAAGGGCTGGGTCTTCTCAAGGGCGGAATGGTTTTCAACGTCAGCTTAGGCATGGCGAGAAGGATGCTTGCGGCGAGAGGTGGTATAACCTTATTGCAGACCATGGGTGCAAAGCTTGGGTTTGAGGTCACTGTCGGCCGGAACGGACTGGTGCACGTCGATGGAGGAAACGTGAAGACCACACTGGCAATTGGTCAGGCAATACAAGAGGTCGATCGTGCTGCCCTGGGAGACGAGGCGCAGAAGAAGCTTGCCGCGGCCACTCTGAAGCATTGTTGACAGGGCGAACATCGCTCTCGTATCGAGCCTTGAGAGGATATTACGACTCGGGATTCGTATTACAAGAACTGAGGATTCCAGTACTACCACTCTGACGGGCAATGCCAGAATTGTTTGCCCTGCCAGGTCTGAAAACTTGCATCTTCAGCTAGGGTTCTACGCCCTTGTACAGAGATGTCGGTACTGTCTCTTGCTAAATCCAGGGAGCGGATGAATCTAATCTACATGAACCTAGACATGTCTCTGATCATGGTCTTGGTACCCGACAGAACCATACAGACATGCCATCAGAAGTGACGGGCTCAGTCTAATTAGACAACGGAATTTTGCGTATCATCGCATCGAATCCTGAACACCCCAAAGAATATGTATACAGTAATGTTATTGTATCACCACAAGACACGATGGCACTCTACCACTCCTCAGCTTTTGAAAAAATGTTGGTATTCATTCGAGAGCTTCCCTAAGGCAGTACAGCTCATTCGATAGACGCTATAGCCAGCCATAGAAGCCGCTGGTCCGCTCAGGGAGCTATATCATCTTCAGTATCGCTAAATTAAATATTGGCCGTCAGCTAACCCTCAATGCATAGCCTAGACCACACATTTCGGATGTCTGCCTCGTTGCCTTGGACCCATGTTCAAATCCCTCCTATTATCCTGCTCTAGTATTGGGTGATACCGGGCCCTATACCCTCGGCGCCACCATCTCAAAGAAGCAGATGATATCACACAAAACCCTAGCCTCAAAATGTATCCTCTTTATGGCACAACCCTCTGTGGGTCTCGGGGGAAGAGACTACACATCCTGATGTTGGGCAGGCCCAGCCAGAACTGCACGATTCTCTCCAATCCGAACCCTCCTCCAGCGTGTGGTGGGCAGCCATACTTGAAGCAATCGACGTAGTCCTTGGTTCCAGCACCGGCGGGATCGATTGGGGGATCGTGTTTGCGCATCTGGTCGGCGAGGAGAGCTGAGTCGTGAATGCGCTGTGCGCCAGAGCAGATCTCCTGACCTCGCATAAACATGTCGTAAGAGTTGGAAAGAGCGGGATCGGCGGGTGATGGCATCGTGTAGGCGGGACGGATGGCGAGAGGGAACTGGTCTAGTGTGTAGAAGTCGGTGTTGTACTTTTCGAGGACAAGGCGGCCAAGCTTCTTTTCTTGAGGGGTTCTAAGCAGGTTAGCTGGGCGTTTCTAGAGAGGTGTGTCCAACTCACGTCAGGTCATCGTAGTCGCCGAGCTCCTCACCAGCTTCGCGGAGCATCTTAATACCTTCCTGGAACGGGATCCTGGGTACTTTTCCGGATTCAGGAAGCTTGAACTCGTCGATGTGGTAGACTCCTCGGACAAGCTCCGTCTCCTTCTTGTAGCGCGTGTTGAGCTCGTTGAAGATGAAGAGCATGAGATCCTCTAGTACACCCATGACCTCATGGTAGTTCTCTTGGAATTCCATTTCCAAATCCAGCCCAGTAAACTCAGTGAGATGACGGGCGGTGTTGGAGTTCTCAGCGCGAAAGACAGGACCTATTTCCATAACCTTTTGGAAGCGGGACGCAATCAGCATTTGTTTGTAGAATTGCGGCGACTGAGCAAGGTAGGCGGGACGACCGAAGTACTTCAGCTCAAAGACGTTCGCTCCGCCCTCAGAGGCAGCGCCGCTTATAAAAGGTCAGTATTTGAGAAGATTTAGGACAGAACCACGTACAGTATCTTTGGAGTATGAACAAGGACAAATCCCTTCTTGGAAAGGAACTCTTGGAACAAGGCGCACACGCCGCTCTTGATGACGAAGATGGCCTGGTTGATCTTGGCCCGAAGATCGATTGTCCTGTTGTTAAGCCTTGTATTCAGGCTGACAAGTGGGCGTTCAGATCCTTCTTCCACCTTCTCGTCCTCTTCTACGGCAGCGTCATTTGGCAATGGTCGCTCAGCATCAGACACTTGCAGTGGCAGCGGGATCTCGGCGGTAGCCTCGACAAACAGCTTCTGGATATGGATTTCGAAGTCGGTGATGCTAGCACTCTTGATGGGCTCCTTCACGCGCTTGACAATGCCCGTGACAACGAGTGTGCTTTCAGTGCTGACGTTGCCGCAAAATTTGACCATCTGCTTGCTCAACTTGTCGCTAGCCGCAACAACTGCCTGGATTGTGCTAAGATTTTGGCGCAGATTCAAGAAAGCGAGTTTGGCAGACTGAACTCTCGCGTTCTCCACCCAACATCTGAACGTAATCTCCTTGTCCTCATTACTGGCGACTTCGGCCAGATCAGTGCGTGGGGTTCCCGTAGGCTTGTAGTCTTTGGATCCAGTAAGAGGAAGTTCGCCGTATGAACCGGCGGATACATCGGCAGCATCGTCGGCTTCTTTCTTGGTGCGCTCAGCAAGTTCACGGGCTTTCGCTGCAGCTTTCTTCTCGGCCTGCTCTAGTGTCAACATATGATCTTGGAAATCTGGAAACCCCGCTCACCTTCTCTTTCTCTTTCTGTGCCTTCTTCAGCGCATTCTTGGAGGGTGCCTCAGCGCCACCGGCTGCGGGTACGGGTGCGGCGTCACTCATTATCGCTGTGTTAGAATGACCCGATCTCGTTGTGGTGTTGAGTTGTGCGCACTCACAATTCCAATGGTGGGGCAAGTCCAATGGATGAATCACAGCCCCGCTACCCCCGCCGCGTCACAACCATTGCTCACATACACCACCCATACATGCCCAACTTCTCACTCTAAGATTGCCGACTTTTTAAATAAAATTGTTGATTACTGTAGTTGGGTATATTGGCAACCGTGAGGATTTTAAGAGCCCGCGGCACCCACCGCCCATGCGCCGTGGTGCCCTGAAATAATACAATCCGCTGTGCTTCATCATTCACTCCTGTACATCTGACAAAAAGCACAAAGCACACGGACAATGCAGCAATCTCTGCGGTTTCCTTTTCATTCAACCCCCAGCATAACAGTAAGTGAAATCATTTAACCAAGTGTCGAAGCCCGACTGGAAGTTGACGCATTTCCGTCCCAAAGCTTCACGGTTTTGACAGCCGAGTATTTGGGCTCTAGGCATGAGAAGATGTTGACGTGGGTGTCATGCACTGCTGCGGCGGCTATCATCAATCGGTGAGGATGGAAAGCAGTGACAGAGATGGGAGCAGATCGATCGCGAAGAAAGCCTGAGTATGGCTCAAAGTGAGATACAGGTTGGCCGTTGTTAATGTTGAAGATCTTGACGCGATGTCGTTGTGTGCCACTGATGGACGTTAGTACAGGTACAAATTGCTGGGGTTTTTTTAGAGGCACTTACGTGGCAAACACTGGAGCGTGTTCGTGAACACTGAGCGTCTTGAGAGTATCGGAAGTCGCCTGTATCGTCTTCACGCTTCGATCCCAGCGGATATCCCATAGTTTAACTTCGCCACCACGACAGCCACTCACGAGCTCACGCTGCCCGCCACGCTGTAGATGGACGTTGGTGATCCATTGTTTGTGTTCCTTCCAGACTTTGACCATAGCAGTGGCAGGCTTCTCACGTTGGTCGTACACTCGAATGGCCCCGTCACCGAAACCAGCAACGAAAACATCGCCCTCTACTTGATCAGAGGTCAAAGACGTGATACAAGAACCCGAACGCGCTGGAAGGTCCTATCGAATGTTAGCCATATGTGAGACAAGAATTGGAACGCGACTTACATTCGTGCACACTTCGGTTCCAGCATTCCACACGCGAATGACCTTGACGTCACCAGCGACGAGGATCAAGCCCCTGCCTTGCTGCCAGTCAAAGACTAGCCCAGCATTCTTGTTACTTGGTACAAGATCTGTCAGAGCTCGGAACCCTGTGACTAACTCCGTCTCGCCTTTGCGATCGTAGTTGCGAAATATCTTGATCACTCCGTCTGATGACCCGGTCATCAACAGTGCTTGATCGTCCTCGTTGATGAATCGCACCTCGGTGATTTTTGATTCAGGAGGATTTCCATTGGAGAAGCAGTTAATCCTGCTGACCGATTTTGAATAATCAAAAATATTGACCGTGTCCCGCGTGTCCGTCACGACAAGATGGTCTTCGAACTGATGGAAACACATCTTTGCAGGCTGGCTGAGGTTGTCAACGTATCCTCGTGGTACATCCCAGCGGTTAGAAACAGCAATTTCTTTCAACGGTTGGGTCTCGGCGATAATTCTGTCATTGCGATTCCTCCGCCAGAGCCTGCCGTTGTAGTCTGTACTTCCAGGCTCGTCGGCCTCTGTCGGCTTCATTTGAGGCTCGCGGAAGTACTCAACCGACCACTCGTAAAATGTACTCTTGAGAGGGATCTCCGGCTTCTCGCTCAGGTTCCGGCTCTTGAAACCTCGTGACATGGGTTGTTCTTCGACGTGATACCTTTCCGGTGTTTGTGGGCGAGATACAGCAGGCACATGAGAGTCTTCGCCGGCAGTCTTGCCAGGCTTCTGCCGAGAGGCAGATGGATCCTGACCTGCCCAGAGACTTTTTAGCGAAGCACCAACGCTTGTGGATTTTCTAATACCACCGAAAAGGGAGAGATAGGTAGAATCCTTTGTCGGTGTTGGAGGATTAGAAGCCTTTTGCGGAACAGAGCCTTCTTCTTGAACGCGCCGCATTGGCCGAGGGGTTGGAACATGCTGGAGAGCTTCATCAAGGTGCGGCTGTGCGAACTTGGCGAGCGAGGATTCCATGAGCGAGATTAAAATATAATCCACGACGATCCCAGCGTCTTTCGCAATCTCAGGATGTGGGTCTACTGACATGACCAGCAGCTCTTTCCATATTGCCGCGTAAATTGTGTTTTGCGAACAGGATGACGACTCGGAGATACTGCCCGATGCCCCGGTACGCGTCTTCATGTAGAGCCCGTCGCCGCTCTTGTCCTCGGGTTGCCTTGGTTTTATGTCACTGTGTTCCTCGGAAAGTTGCTCGAAAGCTGCGACAATGAAGCGTGTCTTGTAGCGGGCAACGAATGTGGAAAAGAAGATGAGGAGCTCTTTGCGCACCATGCTGTTTCCGTCCATGGTCATGATGAGGATCATTGATGCAATGGACTCCTCAATGTTAGCTACTTGAGGAGTAACGTCGCGTATACCGAGGAAAGCTGCCAAGGCATGTAGCATTGCCGCTCTGACTTCTGCAACAGGATCTACAACAAGCTCGCACAGTCGTTCATGTGCCATGCATCGTATTCCTACCCATTTGGCTTCTTCGTAGTTGACCCAGAGCTTGCTTAGGCAAAGGCACGACCATTGCCTCAGCAATGGGTTTTGCACGTCTTTGACATGATCTAGGCAGCTCTCTACGAGCTCGACGCTTAGTGAGGCACGCTGGCCTTGATTGTAGTCTTTACAAAATATCGAGACGATGAAGGCGCACATGGCGCGATGTTCGCTGGCGTTCTGAATCGGTATGCCTACTCAGATTTAGCTAAAGATAATTGAACAAGGACGGCATGATTTACCAGAGTTCGGGTTGAATATGTTGATGAAGTATTGGTAACCGTTGTCTTTGAGAAGGTCGGCTTGGCAGGATTGATCAACTGCAAGAATTCGAGCCCAGATGAATACCATGACTGGCTTGAGCTCGTTTGCTTGGGATTGTAGTAGTTTCAGCACGTATGGAAAGATGCCAATGCTCAGTGCAAGATTCACAGCCCAAGGGCCGTGGTCCAAGAAACTTGATAGTAAAATTAGTGCGCGGAGTCGGTGCACCTGACTAAGCAGCACTTGAAGCACTATAGGGAGTTGTTCGGGGACCTTCTGCTCGACTGCGCCTTGGGTGAGGTACACCTCGAAAGCGGTCAACTGCTCGGCGAAGAAATCAGAATGCTTGTAGACATATTCCTTTTCGCCACGAGCCTCTGCTTGGAGATCTGGTAGCTGAGCCAGAATCAGCTCAACGGCAAGATCCCAACTGCGCCATAATGGATGGTCATGAGTCTGTGGGATTTCAGGATGCGAGACAGGATGGCAGTGGTATGCACGCATGACACGTTGGGCGAGAAGATAGTTGCGGAACAGGGCAGCAACCATCAAGTCCTGACGGAACAGCTTCTTGAAGAGGGGTTTGGAAAGAGAGTTCCAAGCAATGGTGTCGGTGATGGCTGTAAAGATCCAGTTCAGTTCGCCAATGGGCGTTCTACGTTCAGAGACCTTGCCTGGGATATTGTGGGCATCTCGTAAGCTGACCTTTGTTGGGAGTGGGTTCTGTAAGATGAAGAAGCGCACGGCCATGGTGATGGGGTCAGTCAAGCAAGAGGTGAAGATGTCAGCAGGCAGTTCCGGGTTGGTAGGAAGGGATTCCTTATCCCTGCACGCTGCCAAATGGATGCAATCACTGAAGTCAACGTGCTCAACACTGGGATCCCGCCGCCGAGCTTCCTCAAACTCCGTCTGGTGCTTCTCGGCAAACCGATTGAAGTTTGTGATAATAAGGCCGGCGTCGGAGCAGTCGTAGACAAACAGACTCGGCGCCCCGATCCAAGACTGCAAGTCGTAAAGCGACAAGGGTATGTACTGAGTGTAGTTTCGGTTGAAGACCCAGATTTCGCCCGAGGATGTGGGTTTCGGAACGCCGTGGCCGTTGTAGTGGAACAAGACTCGCTCGTTGCGGGCATTGCGCCTAAGGGTCGACGTGTATTTCCTCGTCTCTTCCGTAGTAGGATCGAGAAGAAGCTTGTAGCGCGTGCGCATGCTCAGCTGCTCGTACTGCGTCTGTAGGGCCTTTCCAATTTGGTTCATGGGTGTGTGACCTGGCGTCTGGGAGGTGACGGTCGGGTCTATCCAGCACTCCTCCTTGGCACATGGATTCGTCTTGATGACGTCGGGCGGATCAACACCTATGTTGAGGCAGAGGGCAAGGACGGCCGAGACAGTTTTGAGGCGGTCGCGCATTCGCCATTCTTGGACAGGAAAAGCTGTGTCCTCGTGCTTGGGGTGACCGCCAGACTCATGCTTCTTGTCGGTGTAGTACATGAAGAAGTTTGAGGTGAGCAGGTTGCTGTACTCTTCCGAGTTCAGCTGGTCATCCCACCCATGGCGAATCTTGAAATGGCCATCGACGCTGCCCTCGTCGGCGGTGCTCTCTGGGGGACCGACAGCATGGCGAGGTCCAAAGTCACTCTTGGCCCGTCCAAAGCCTGGCCGGACAGAGGGTTGGCCAGTCGAGGCTGGACGGGCAGGCGGGGCGTTATGGTCCATGTCTGAAGCAGACAAGGCATTGGCAGCTGCAGCAGCGGTGCCGGGGCGCGTTGAGACAGCAACTTCTGCAGGCGCAGGAGGAGGCGCAGAGCCGTTCATGGCGAGGGGTGCGGGGGCGTGCGAGGCAAGCGGGTTCGGGTGCGTGTGGCCACTGACGAGGGGCAGTTGGCTGGCAGTTCGCATCATGAGCTTCGGCGAGCAGTGACGATGTTTGCGGCGCCCATAGCGGAGGCGCGTGTGGAAAGCGCGTACGGGTCGGGGGGCAGGCGCGACTGGCGGATGTGTTACAGAGGGCCAAAGACTGTATGAGCCACGTAAGACAGGCGCTGCAGGCTGGAGGGCGAGCTGCGTTTATGTCGATGGGTGGTGGAATGAATCAATCCATGTGAGTTGCAGTTGTCGCGGCGCTAGGCCACAAGGAGCACCGCGGTGAGAGACGACGTCGACAAGCCGACAGACATGATCCACCTGTCGTAGTAGGTCACAAATAGCCGCTGTACAGCAGTACGGTAGGACGGCAGACGGCAGTGACGGCAATGGTACAGTACGCTGTGGCCTGCACACTGTCGCATTGGCTTCACGCAGCGATGCCACCTTGCCAACGGTAAACACACCCATTTCATACACAACAACTTTTGCTGGTATGTAGGTATACTTGGGCTGCATGCTCCGGCTCTGCAGCCAATGGCAGCCCAAGGCGCCTCGTAGCCTCGTCGCCCGTCCGCTGATCCTCCCGGGGCTTCTTAGGGGCGGCGGCACAGTGTGAACAAGGCGTGTGAGCAGGGAGGCGGCGCCATCCTGTACCTAGCATTGACCGTTGTCGCCTTTCCCGACTGCGTTTGGTTTGCTGGTCATGGCCCTGCGAGCTGCTGCGCCCTTTCGCACCGACTGTTCCGCGCTTGTCTTGCAACCGACTCGCGTCGTCCCCAGCATCTCCTTGCAATCACCCGCTTCCAAGCCGCGTACATTGCCAAAACCCACGACGAACCTTCTATCCTAACCTGCTGCACCTGCTGCACTCGCTGCACTCGACCCCTACTACCAATATCACGTCAAGCTATTCGATTCCGCCCCGGCTGTACGACATGCGCGCGCGCCCTGCCCAGTGTCTTGTCTAAGAATCTCGCGCTCACCAGCCGCTCAAGTCCAAGCCCTCGACCGCCTGGTCGCGCTCGTATCCCCAGCTATCGCCACTTGCACTAGCACCTGGTCCTTTGTTGCAAGCCGAATGCGTGCGCGATAGCCTCCGGCTGCCATTGCAACAACGCCCGCGCTGCAACGTCGCCGCCATGTCCTTTCTATTCGGAAAGAAGAACAAGCAGCAGGCCAACGCGCTCCCGCCGGCCACCAGGGAGATTACCTCGTCGCATGGCCCAGGACAACCGCCCCCGACTGCCAATGGCATAAGTGCTAACATCGCTGCCAGCGGTCCTCCCCCCCGCGATGTAGTGGAAAGACCCCGTGGAGGCAGCCAGACCCAGAACTCGACTCCGGGGGGCAGCGTTAACAACTCTTTGAGCTCCCTGCAGAACGCCCCTACTCCAGAGCCAAAAGCTCGTGAAAAGATGGACCCGAACGGCCAAGTATGTGCTCCTCCCTACTTCCTATCCTCCTTGTGTGCTGACTGTCTTAGAATGCCAACCCCAGATTTGCCGCAAACTCCCCCGAATCGCCCTACCCTTGGTCCTCGCGCCGCCTCAACTTCACCGCCGGCAATCCCTTCCCTCGATATGGCGCTGCTATCAACGCAACAGCCTCGAAAGACGGCACCATCTACCTTATGGGTGGACTGGTGGGGGGTTCGGCAGTCAAAGGTGATTTGTGGCTGACAGAAATGGGCAACGGCAGCATGGCCTGCTACCCTATTTCTACCACTGGAGACGGACCCGGCCCTCGTGTGGGACATGCCAGTCTGCTGGTCGGCAACGCATTCATCGTCTTCGGAGGTGACACAAAGTTGGCTGACAATGATGACCTAGACGATACGCTATATCTGCTGAATACCTGTTTGTAAGCCCTAGAAACATATTTGTTCCCATCTAACAGACTACAGCAACTAAACACTGGTCACGCGCACTACCCCAGGGGCCACGTCCTACCGGTCGTTACGGACATACTCTGAACATCCTAGGCTCCAAAATATACATTTTCGGTGGACAAGTGGAAGGCTTCTTCTTCAACGACCTGGTGGCTTTTGATCTGAATTCATTGCAGTCCTCCGCAAGTCGTTGGGAAGTTTTACTACCAAACACAAAGGAACAGATTTCTCCCCAGGGCAAGTCACCACCAGCTCGTACAAACCATTCAGTTGTAACCTGGAACGACAAGCTCTATCTCTTCGGTGGCACAGACGGTCTTACCTGGTTCAATGATGTCTGGACATATGAGCCGCGCTCCAACTCATGGACTGAACTCGACTGCATTGGCTATATTCCCGTGGCTCGCGAGGGTCATTCAGCTGCTCTCGTGAACGACACCATGTACATCTTTGGTGGACGCACCCAAGAAGGAGTCGATTTGGGTGATCTGGCAGCCTTCCGCATCTCCTCTCGCCGCTGGTATATGTTCCAAAACATGGGTCATTCCCCTTCAGCTCGATCAGGTCATAGCATGACATCGTTCGGAAAGCACATTGTCGTTCTGGCAGGCGAACCCAGCTCTTCTATTAGTGACAGAAATGAGCTCAGTCTTAGCTATATTCTAGACACCTCCAAGATCAGGTATCCTCCCAATGAGAGCGCTCCTCCACAACAGGCCCAGAACACCCAGCGGAAGATGAGCGGTGGTGAAAAGACCGGCCCCGCTCCTATAAAAGCAGTATCACCTCCAATACGAGAGAGCTCAGCGGCCAACGCCAATCTTACCAAAGTCGCAGATAGCACGGGAAATGGTATACTTCCTGCGGGATCACGGCTACCTCGTGCAGCTGGTCAGCCACCTCCAGGTCCTCCACCAAATCAGCAACCACCACAACCACGAGAAATGGGGCCTAGCCATCAAGGCGGCGCGAGGTCCAGGAGCAAGACTCCCACTAAGAATGATCGTAGCTATGGTCCTCCTCTCGACACTGGAGCTACATCTACGGCCGACCGAGAGAACATGTCGCCCATGGCCCGCGAAAGCCCGCTTACAAGCGACATTCAGCGAAAGACTTCTGATGCCATAAGTCCGCGGCCTCATAAGGAGTCCATGGATACTTCACGATCGAGCAGCGTCGGTTCGCGGCATGCACCAAAGACCCATCGTCAGCAAGCTTCTCAAGAGAGTGTGGAGCAAGCAACGCGGCGGTCCCTGGAGACTCAGCAGCAACGGGGCCTGGCTGAACAACTGCCCACCAACGGCGCCAAAAACATATCGCCTACGACTGATCAACGGAGCGCTGATCTAGTACGAGAACTTGAACACGTGAAGAATCGCAATGCTTGGTACGCCTCAGAGCTTGCTCTTGCCCGTAGAGCGGGCTACAGCTCAGGGACTTCTACCAGCCCGGTATTCGACGAGCGATCAGCGGACGCATTCCGTGATGAAGACAAACCACTACTGGAAGCACTTTTGAAGATGAAGACCGAACTCGAACGCGTCCAGACATCAATCAAGACCCAAGGCGAGGACGCTGCGAAGCGGATTGCTGAAGTTGAAAGGCAGCGAGATGCAGCTGTTAGCGAAGCCATATACGCAAAGACGAAATTGGCGGCCCATGGAGGTGGTAGCCACAGTGGTACTCCACAACCCGATGGGGCACGGAATGCGGATACACCAGACGCCGATCGTCTCCAAGACACTAACCGCCGACTAGCTATGTCTCTGGCGGCACAAGCCGAACTCGCTACCAAAGTTGAACATCTAACGCGCCAAATTGATGCCGAGAGGAAAGCTAAGCAGTTAGCGGAAGAGATTATAGACGCCGCTCAGAAGCGTGTACAAGAGCTGGATACGACTCGGCAGAAGGCTACTGCTGAATCCGAGAGTCTGCGTGCCGAGCTTCATGAAGCTGAACGTGTTGCAAGAGAAGTCTCTACCAGTGCCACCGAGGCAGAATCTTCGTCAAAGCTCCTTGCCATCGACAAACAGGAATTGAGTGTCAAGTTTGCCAAGGTCTCTGAAGAATCTAAAGCGCAGGCTGGCATCATTCAGTCCTTGCGTGACGCTGTCTTCGCATCCACGGAGAAGTCGGCATTGCTCGAAAAGAGGTTTCATGATGAGCGGGAGCAAAACGATAGTCTTCGCCAGAAGCTCAGTCAACTCCGGAGCGAGTACGAAGCACGGGTAACGGAACTGGAAACAACTTCACAAAAACTTCGAGATGCAGAAGAACTAGCAGAAAGTCATGCGGAAGAAGCGCGCCTTCACAAAGCAACTGTGTTCTCAGGTCTCAAGACTATTGCGGAACGATCTGAAGGAGATGTGGCCAATAGTGACGAGCGGATTCTGGTACTGAAACAGCAAATCGAAGCTGCAACAATCATGGCCCGCAAAAACCAGGCCGCCGCAGACCAAGCTTCAGAGAAGCTTCGACGAGCGGAAGAACGGATTGCGGGCCTCGAAGCTTACCAAGAACAGTCCAGCCGCGAAGGCCTTACCATCCGTAAACAACTCCAACAGGCTATGCGGGATGTACAGCTTATTGAGGCCGAACGAATCGACCTTCGTCAGCAGAACGAGCGTCTACGCCTCGAAAGTAATGCTTTCGAAGTTCAGCTCAAGACACTCCGTAACCTTCTTGAAGAGAGAGGAGTGAATCCAGTCGATGCTCGACGTTCCAGGGTCTTGGACAGCCCTAATTCTAGGTTTGGCACACCTGAGTTCAACCGGGTTCGCGAACTAGAACAACAGGTCGATTCCATGACCAAGGCACACGAAGAGTTGCGTAATATGTTCGAAGAGCGTGAGCATGAGGTCAGCAAAGAGTGGGAAGAGAAGTTACAAGCGTTGCATAACGACCACCAAGCTGCTGTCAAGTACCTCAGAGGCACAGAGAAGATGCTTACGAAGATGAAGCAGGAGCTCGACCGTTACAAGAGTACAAATCTCAGACTCGAGGAAGAGCTCGCACAAATGAAGCTTAATGAGCGTAACAAAACGACAGAGGCAGACACCGCTGCGTGGGACGCAGAACGTACTGCACTCCGTTCAGAACTGTCAAAAGCGCATGACAATATGGAGGCTACCGTCAAACGCTTTGAGACTCAGCTGGCTAAGCTGCAATCTGACCTAGCCTCTGCCAAGTCAGATGCTGAGACCGCGGCGGCTGCCACGAAAAAAGCCGAGGAATTGGCAGCCCAGTTCCAAACCGACCTTGAGTTACTCCGTCGTCAGTACTCGCAAATGGAGGAGCGTGCCCGCGAAGCTGAGGGTCGGGTTCAGATGTTCCTTGATCAGTTTGAATCGTCTGTTGATAACTATCGCCGCCAGTCAACGATCCCGGCCGACGCCGCCCATTCCGAGCACGTACATCACCACTATGGACATGATAGCGTTGCGTCAGCCGAGTCCTTGTATAGTCGCAATGATGGCTCCAGCACTCCTGAAGCCACCAATCGCCCAGCGTCTGCCGCTACACGCAATTCGGTGGCTCTCGACAACCTTGCGTCTGAACTGGATGCCCTAAGAAGCCACTGGGAAACTACAAACAAAGCTTATCGTTTGAGTGACCGCTTCGAGTTCGAGCGTGGGCCTGGTAGTGACAAGACTGATCTTAATGAATCCCTTGCGCAGTGGAGGAGCAGGGTAGACCTGGAAGATCACGCTCAGAGTCAAGCCGGCCTTCATGACTCCAAGCCTACCCAGCCTGCCGCCACTTCGCCATCTTTTGCCCATGCTCACGGGGCCTCTACTTAGGCCTTCCTTGACCAATCTTTCACACAGCCCCTCCGTGGCTTCAAAATCCATCAGCGTCTCATTGACGTCTGAGGAGCTATAGTGTTTACTTTCCTTTTCCCATCATGATTTGATGGATTTTTTCGTTTTATACCATTTTTTTATCTTACTCAAGGTATCTGTAATTGTGGGTTTTCGACCTTTCTTGGTCTAGCAGTTTGGCAATTAGGTGGCACCCCTCACACTTCTCAACGACTTGTCATTGTTTAGCATGTCACTTTATGAGGTTAATGGGGCGACGACGTTGTGAGTCCGCCAGAACGACTGTAGGCTTGTACGAGCAAATAATGTACATTATGAGAGTCTTTTTTGTAAACACGCGTCCCTTTGGGCGCATAAATTCCTGTCTGGCGTCGCTGCTTCGTTTGGGAACCAAAGCTTAATTTTTGATTATTCGGTTAGGGAAGCAGGGTCTGAGCCTACTGTTCATTCGTGCAGACCTTTTGGCTTGTGTGGGACGCGAGTGAAAGTGAGGGTAGCTCGACAATACGAAATGAGTGCATCGCGAACTCTTGGCGCACGACACCCGAATGGGACACAATAGAACGGATCTTCTCCTCCACTTGCACCAGCTTATACAATGATACGCGCGACACAAGAACCTGTACTAGTACCTTTGTAGAATCGTGTCGCTATTGTTTGCGGTCACGACAATTGAGCGGAGTAGCAAGGTTAGTGTCGACTGTATATATCCCCAGTTTGTAGTCTCCCATCTCTTCTTCTTCTGTTTCCGACACGATCTTCTTTTCCAACATCTTCTTCTTCGCAGATATCCCTTCTTTACAGACGCTGGACGTCATTACACTTGAATCTATACACTCTTTCTTCGGCTATCCATCGGTCTGGTACCAGATACTGCCCAATTTCAATACCCAGCATGTCTTCCTCTCCGGACGTACACCACTCCTCGCCAGCTCAACTGGGGCTTAGTGCTGTACAGGACGGTTCCACGGCTTCTCTTGGTGCAGCTACCGAACATGGCAGTGCTGAGAACAACGTCGAGTATCGGGAGGATGTTGTCGATCAGAACACAACCCATGACAACGAGGCCCAACAACCAAGCATCGATGATGAGTTTATGCATGAACTCGCAAAAGCTATATCGCGCCTCCAAGAAGAAGAAGTGGAATTGCCAGCCCCAAGCGATGTGGCGAACATGACGGAAGCCCAGCTGGACAGCACCTACCACAACATCATGCTTCGTTACGGATTTCGACGCATCGTTCCCTCCGGCACTGAGCCTGTCAACACTGAGCCTGTCAGCCCTGAGCCTGTCGACGAGCCTGTCGATGAGAGCAGCTACATACCGCGCATCTGGCCCAGCGACGTCAACCCACCACGGCAAAATGCTCCCCTGCCACTGTACCCAGCATACACGGGGCATTTCCAAACCCGTGAAGAGGCCAGGGCCTATCGGCAGCGATCGCGTCTACCACCCAAGCTTGCGCCAGATCTCGAGCGTGTGAAGCGTTATGGACGTAAGTACTCACAATTTCGTCGTTATCTACCCACAAACTAACATGGATTACTTGCAGGTCAGTACTGGGTGCGACGCATATACGAGGCCATGATCGACCGCTCCAACATATGCGACAAGGACAATTCCATCAACAGACAGCGGTTCGATCAAGCCGCCGGCTTTGAACCTCTGGACTTGGAGGCAGTCGCACACCACGTGTTCGACAGCGCCTTGGCAGTTCACGAGCGAGGCTTCAGTCGTCCCAGAGTCTACCACAAGAAGGTCGTACGCGGCAAGCTGGTGGACGTGAGTGAGCACTCCGTCGAAAGGCGCCTTTCTCGCATATGTTACTGCCTCTCGTACTGCAAGGCGATTGTTGACGACGCGATTCACGGTGGAGTGCCCCTTGCGCTTCTCTGCGACAACCCAGAAGCGAGACTTGCTTCCAAGGAATCCAACAACACGGGAAACTCGAAGCGTTCTACGCGCCTGAAGCTCGCCAAGCAACTGAAGGAACAAGAAAAAGGGAAAGGAAAGGGAAAAGGAAAAGATGACAATGATCAGAATAACGAGGATTTGGCAGATGGAGATGGACGAGACGATGGCGTTGAGCAGAACGAAGGCCAACAGCAAGCAGAGGAATGAGTATTGCTCATATTAGTACGCTTCGGGGTTTTGTACGCAGTGTGGGATACGGTTTCCGCTTTGTTTCGATAACGGTTCGTTTGAATGACGTGGTTTGGGGCTGGTCCACCCAATTTCGGAGAGTAAGATATTTCTTGACATATCTTGCGATATATCGCACAAAAAAGTCGCAGGGCTCAATAGAATTTGACTCCACCAACACTTTCCACCTTAGCTTTCGTGAGCCCTTCCTCCACTTTTTCCAGCTTGGTTTTGGTTGGGTTTCGCTCGTCCTCTTGCTGTCCAGCTATACTCAATTCCTTCTTGGCGTTCTTTTTCTGGTACAGAGCCTCCTCGTCCTTGAGTTCTTTCAAAACTTCGGCACGTTAGTTCTCAAAGAGCTCTTACCGGTAATTGCGTCTAGGTATGTATCACTCACCCTGGGCCCATTCTCCCTCTTCTATTGCATTGCCAGTCCCAAGCATCTCTTCGACTGGCACATCTTCGCCTTGTCGCACGCGATCAATGACTCTTTCAAGTATAGCAATCTTTGACCTAGATTTGCTCTCTTGCTTGGATCTTTCCTGCTTCAACCACAGAATTTGTATAGCCTGGCTGCCAACAAGTAATCCGAGAATGATGTACGGAGTAGCGGGATTCCACTCTTTCGGCCTAGGGTTTTCCGGACGACTCCTAAGTGGCTTTGGGATCATGGAAGCCCAAAAGCTCGGCTGCACAATGCGTGGTATGGAGATGAAGCGTGAATGCGCCAGAGGAGAGGCCATCATGGCGAAAGTGCGCGCTTGTAGGCGCATAGGCGGAGTAAGCACAGTGCGGTGGGCTACAGGCATAGCCAACAATTGACGGAAGAGGCTAGGCGGATGCATGACCACGAGGCGTTTCAACGGGCGGACAAGCTCGATGGTGGACGTTATCTGATGATGGAAAGAACGCATTGCATGGTAATTTTGATGACGAGGCTCGAATAGGTTAGCGCCCCATGGGGATGCCGAGGTTCACATGTGTCCCCGTCCCTTGTCGTTCAAACAAGTGCTCCTCTCTACGTTTATACATACTCAAAATGGAGAAACGACCTAGATATGCTCCAGCACTCGTCGATGGCCATACGCCTGCCCAAAGGGTTCAACAATGGGTGAGTACATGGGTCCACTTTTGCACATACGTATGCGCTGACCAGGAGCCGTAGATGGACGCGATAGAGAGCAGTGATTACATTGCATGTTCTCCACTGATATGAATGCTACATGTCTAATCCGCCCGTGTAGGGCCATGATGCTATGATTCCAAAGCTCCTCAAGATGGAATCGGTCACGTTTACTCCGTCTGCCGCCAATCCAAATGACGCGCGATCAGTGTTCTCGTTGGTCGTTCCACAGGAGCTGTGCAACGCGGGAGACTTACTCCACGGCGGTGCTGTGGCTTTGATATTTGATATCACGACTTCCATAACCATCAGGGCTTGTTGCCGCAAAGGATTTTGGGATACGGGTCATGTCTCACGCAACCGGTAGGATCCGCTGAAGAGGGAAGACTGCTACCATTGCTAATGCGTTAGCAGTAAGTACTATCCAGAAGCGCACCATCTGGCCTTGGATGGGAACTATTGTGAGCATTGGAACTTGAAAAGCTGACAATGGAACCTATTCAAAGTGAATGTTACATTCTTGAGACCGGCACCAAAGGGAACAAAGGTCTTTGTGGAGAGCTGGGTCACACACTTGGGAAAGCGGATGGGCCAGACGAGGGGAGAGATGAGGCTGGAAGACGGAAAGGTGTGCTATACCTGCGAGCATGGGAAAGTGCAACTGGACGCACCCAATCTGTGATATGGGCTCTTGGGCAAGTTATGAGACAGACATAGCCGTCAGTGTTTTGGGTGGAATGTACAAGTCAGAAGTATCCTACAAGTTCAGACGATGCAGATAAGTCGTTGTTGTTGTGAGGGGAATAATGTACATGTGGGATTATTCGGTTTGGGGCTAGTGGAGTGGACCCCTGGCCATCCCAATCCCGTTTATGTCATACCTCTCTAGACTGGGTGTATGCGCACAACCTAGGTACTGCGACTTGCACTTCACACCAGCACACTTGCCCAACTAAGCCCCTGTACATCTGCCCTTTGCGCCAATGGATCTCGGAGACGCAGAGAGCTCTCCATGGGGAGGTACGTGTCCATTGTGCGATTAATCGTCATGTGCGACACTGACAGGCAGCCAGACGTGCCCTCACAGTCGAGCCCTGCGGCGAGCATGACCAAGGCGGATCAAGAAGATGCCCCCGACAATGATGCGCAAACATGCAACACCAGACTATCAGCAGAAACTACCACTACCGCTGCTCCGCGCTCACCCGCAGGCCGTGGCCCCCGACGGCGGCAATATGGTGTTCAGTCAACCAAACTTGAGGCTGTCGAGGATCCTCTTGGGCCTCTGGGAGCTCCCACGCCGCCACCAACGGGCCCCGAATCCGCTCCTCCAGCGCCGCCTCAGAAGGAAGCTGCGGCTTTGCGCGCCACAAGGCCCGCGCCTGGCGCCTCAACGCCCTCGCTGCGCGGTATGATGGACTCGGTTGACCTGGACGACGACGAACAGCCACACTCTTCGCAGGGTGCCCGGATACCCCCTCCAGTTCAGGCTCCGTCAACTACAGCCCCCCAGCGCCAGATACAACCGAGCGTCAGTGTCGAGCAGGCTGCGAAACCGTCCTTTGCCATTTCCGTGGGCGATCCACACAAGGTCGGCGACCTCACGAGCTCGCACACCGAGTACTCTGTCACAACCAAGACGACGTCCAAGGGCTACCGCAGTCCCGAGTTCACCGTCTCCCGTCGTTACCGCGATTTCCTATGGCTATACACACAGCTACACAACAACAACCCAGGTGTCATCATTCCTCCGCCACCCGAGAAGCAGGCTGTGGGCCGTTTCGAGGCCGACTTCGTTGAGTCCCGGCGCGCTGCTCTGGAGCGCATGCTTAACAAGGCGGCTGCTCACCCTGTGTTGCAGCACGATAGCGATCTGAAACTCTTTCTCGAAAGTGATGCCTTCAACGTTGACATCAAGAACAAGGAACGCAAGGACCCCGGTCTAAGCGAAAACAAGGGCATGTTTGGTTCTATGCTCTCTAGTAGCAGCGGTAAATTTGTCGAACACGATGACGTGCGTTAGTCAACCCCTGTGATCTGGAGTATGCTGACTTTACTGGAGTGGTTCCATGACCGAAGGGTCTATCTTGATGCGCTCGAAGCACAGCTCAAGGCTCTCCTCAAAGCAACTGACTCTGTAGTAACCCAGCGAAAAGGACTTGCGGAAGCCTGTGGAGACTTCTCGGCTTCTTTGCATTCCTTGTCAGCTGTAGAATTGTCGCCCGCTCTGTCTAGCCCACTTGATAGTCTTTCCGACATCCAGATCCGCATCCGCGAACTCTATGAGCGCCAGGCCCAACAAGATATACTCACCATGGGCATCGTCATCGACGAGTACATTCGCTTGATAGGTTCCGTAAAAACTGCTTTCCAGCAGCGACAGAAGGCTTACCATTCGTGGCATTCTGCTGAGCAAGAACTGCAGAAGCGGAAAACAACCCAAGACAAGCTACTTAGACAGGGTAGATCTCAGCAAGATCGTCTGAACCAACTTAGCGCCGATGTCGCCGATGCTGAGCGTAAGGTGCATCAAGCGAGGTTACTGTTCGACGATATGGGTCGACTCATGCGCAGTGAGCTAGAACGCTTTGAAAGAGAGAAGGTTGAAGACTTCAAGTCGGGTGTAGAGACGTTCTTGGAGAGCGCCGTGGAGGCACAAAAGGAAGTAAGTGTGACCTGTACCTTCTTCTTCTTCATATCATACTAAACTATCCATCAGCTCATTGAAATATGGGAGACGTTCTTGATGCAACTCGACACCGATGAAGGTGATACATTTGTTCCGCCTGCTGGTGTCGTGGCTGCGCCCGATACCGAACCCACCACCAACCAGGATACGGAGAGGTCGGAAGTCAGTAACGAAGGCACGGTATGACTCCAGGACTAAATAGACGCTTGTGTATACCACGTTCGAAATGTAATGGTATGGGCTAATTGTTTCTTGCCTATTTTTCACACGAGCGTGCAGGTCAAGCCCAGATTTCATATGATAGAGGAAACGAAAAGTCAATTCGACATCTCCAGTGGGAATCTTATCGCATTGCAATCGCATTTGTCTACGAATACCTAGTGAGTTGTTGATGTGCAGATGCTACGTCTGGCTGTTGTGTGGATATTAAGGCGGGTCGACCCGCTCGATCCGGTATCCCGGAGCTTCCAGCAAAGCCACATCATCTTCATTCATACAACAGTTGCAGAATCCAACGCTCTTCGTATATCGGTCAAAAAGGTATACAGAGCATCCGAAGCTAACTCTTTGAGGAAGTCGTGTATCGTGTAGAGGATTTGCGGACCTGACGGTCAAGCCACTTGTAGTAAGATCCAGTTGATAAACCGTGCCTCTGCTTCACTAGACCGAGTAACTGCGGCCTTGCAATCTTAATCGGCTCAGCGCTCCGACAACCAGCCAATAATCAGTTTGCAAACGCATCTGCACATGAGTTTCTGGAAGATCACGTAGGCCGTCCCCACGTTAGTCCCACGTGCGGGGTCACGACATCGACTGAACACGCTGGCCAAGCAAGCGCCGGTAGAAGTGGCGGTTGGTGGCCGGCTAAATCAACTCTACAATCTCATACATAATGAAGCAACGAGCCTTGAAAATTTGCTGAAAACGGAATTGACATCACGACTGAACAAGCCATCATGCCGTTAGTTCGTAACCCCATCCTGCCCGGTTTCAACGCGGACCCTTCCGTGCTCCGCGTTGGTAATGACGGTAAGATACCTTTGTAGATTTAAGAGTACAAACTAACAGTAAATCATAGTAAGTATTACACAGTCAAAAACCCAGTCTTATCAGATATTGGGTACTTCTGAATAGACAGTAAATTCTGTGGGCTGCGAATTCAGAACCTCAAATTTGGAATCTTGAATGGGTAAGACATGTACTGACGGTATTTGACACAGTACTATATCGCAACATCCACGTTCGAGTGGTATCCTGGTGTGCAGATCCACCACTCCACAGATCTCGCCAACTGGGATCTCGTGGTCCGCCCCTTGAGTCGGAAAAGCCAATTGGATATGCGTGGCGATCCTGACAGTTGTGGTATGTTTTTTCTGCTCAAGCCGACATTGAACGTTTCGTAATCGACTCAAAGGCGTGTGGGCTCCCTGCTTGTCGCACGACGGAAACAAGTTTTGGTTGGTATACACGGACGTCAAACGCAAGGACGGTTCTTTCAAAGACAATCCAAACTATATCGTCACGGCCGACCGTATCGAAGGACCCTGGTCCGAGCCCTACTACGTCAACTCGTCTGGATTTGACCCCTCCCTGTTTCACGATGACGATGGTAAGAAGTGGTTTGTAAACATGCTACAAGACCACCGCCGACGCCCACGCTATTTTGCTGTTAGTGTGCTCATATTCCCATTACTCGTGGAATAAACTGACATTATATGTCTATAGGGTATCAGATTGCAGCAATGGGATCCTGAGGCAGGGAAGCTTGTTGGACCCTGGAAAACCATATTCGCTGGTACGGAGCTAGACCTCGTAGAAGGCCCACATCTGTACAAACGAAATGGATGGTACTACCTTTTGACAGCGGAAGGCGGGACAGCTTATGGACATGCCTGCACTTTGGCTCGCTCCCGCGATATCTGGGGACCATACGGACTCCATCCGCAGAAGTACATCATTACCTCCAAGGACGCCCCATTCGCGGCCTTACAAAGAGCGGGTCACGGAGACATAGTCGATACTCCGGATGGCAAGACGTACGTCGTCCACCTTACTGGACGTCCGATAACACAGGCTCGTCGCTGTGTTTTGGGACGAGAGACGGCCATCCAAGAGGCGTATTGGGACAAGGATGATTGGCTATACGTAAAAAATGGTCCTGTTCCGTCCCTCTACGTCGATCTACCAGCAGAACGCGATGACGGCCCCTATTGGAAGGAGCAGCGCTATGCGTTCGACGACGGCAGTCTCCACAAGGACTTCCAGTGGCTTCGAACGCCAGAGCCCGAACGTATCTTTAGCGTCAAAGACGGCTTGCACCTTATTGGCCGCGAGTCAATCGGTTCCTGGTTCGAGCAATCGTTGGTTGCGCGCCGCCAAACACATTTCTCATATGACGCTGAAACGGTCGTTACGTTCAGTCCAGATGACGAAAGAAATTATGCCGGCTTAACTGCATACTACTGTCGTTTCAATTTCTTCTATCTGACAGTCACCGCTGGGTCTGACGGTCAGCGCGAATTGTTGATCTTCAGTTCTGAAGCTTCTTGGCCTAACGGCAATCTGAAACTGCCTATGGTGGAACCCGTCCAAATACCGAACGAGGGAAAAGTAAGGCTGGCAGTGAGTGTCCGGGGAGGCGAGCTCCAGTTCCGCTACGCGCTTGAGGGGCAGTCGAGCTTGACCAAGATCGGACCCGTTTATGATGCCTCGATCTTAAGTGACGAGTGTGGCGGCCATCAGGCGTAAGTGATTTCAGTTTTCAATGTCTTACGCACGCCGCAGCCGCTGATTCTATGACTTCTAGCCACGGAAGCTTCACCGGTGCCTTTGTCGGTCTGGCCGCATCTGATCTGAATGGTACGGAGAAAGTTGCAAAGTTTGATTACTTCCAGTACACGCCGGTAAAACATAGTACGGACCGCTACGATGCAGGCACGTGAAATGTAGAAGACACGGAAAAGCTGCGTATTTGTCGTCACACTGAATCTCCAAGAAAAAGCGTGTTGATCATTATGCGTTGAGCACGTGCAAGCCTTGTCGTTAGCAGAGTTGTGTGTGACTGTGATAAGAACGTTGTGCGCCTGCAACTTAAGCTGAGGCATCTACTGCAAGAGGGTGCATCCCAAGTTCGGGAGGAAGCGATGACGAGTCCGGGTACCTGGGTAGTTGACACAAGGTTGCGGCTCCGACCGTTTCAGCCCCAACGTTATCTGGGCGCAAGCCACTCAACTTTCGAGCATCTCAGAAAACAGCACTATGACTCGCACAACGCTTCATGTCACACCAGCGAGATCTGCGGTCGGTTTACCGGCTTAAGGTGGGGTCGTTGGCCTTTGACAAAGTCCCTCGACGGTACGGTCAAGGTCTAAGACCCGAAAGAATGCGCAGGCTTCGTTCAATAAAGTTGGTCCTGCGCATCCTACCCGGTTCAATAATCTATGCCTGATACTGCTGTCGTTCACCCGTCGGCGTTGCAGAAAACCTTGCACCAGCCTCCTTGTCTCATGATCGTTTCACGGCGCTCAGGCACCATAGTACATAACTGACAATAGGAGACTGTAGCCTCGTTCTGCCATAGGAACCCAGTCTGCTATTAATCTGCTGTTGTATTTCTGATATCAGGTCGCTTCCGTCATCCAGTCTCACGACATCTTACCCGCCCCCAGCAGACACCCATACAGCCCTCGTTTTCCATCACAATAGCCCAACATGTGGACGCCGTCTACGAAGCCTAGCCGGCAAAATTCCCGCAATGCTTCCATCTATTCCATTGTTTCCTTCCAGTCGAACAACGGCCGACCGTTGTCCATTGCGTCATCCCAACTACAGAAATCACCCCAGATATCGAGTTCGCCTGAGATGCCGGGCTCACCACGATCAGTTCTGTCGTTATTGTCGCCCCAGCTATCACCCGTGGCGCAGCGTGCCCCAACAATGCAATATACCGCTCCAGTACAGGTTGCAACTCCGACCCAAATCGCTACCCCAACACAGCATGCAACTCCAACACAGCCTCCTCCCCGGTTCCAGGCTCCTCCTCCTCCTCCTATTCAAACCCTCGATGACGACAACTTCTCCGACCTCGGTTCAGACGATGACGACACATTCATTCAGTCAGCGCCGCCTGTATGGCATGCACCGCCATCAGCACCGCAGCCAATTATGAACGTAGCCCCACCAAAGTTGGACAGTAAGGTCGAGCATATTGCAAAACTGGCACCTCCGATCACGAACATTCCCTACCAATCTCCACGCACTTACGTAGAGCGGCCGATAGACGATGACGCGACATCACGGTCATCCACGCTGGACGGCGATGAAGATGATATCCCATACCCAGTGAAGGCACCAATGTCCCAAATATCCCATTCCGCCATCAAGATGAGCCAAACGGGTCGGGAGCCAACATCGCCTAACCCAGCACCACATGTTCCGGGACCTCTGGAATCACAACTCGCCGCCTTGATGTCCAAGCTCATCTACATCGAGCAGGAGAACTCTGCGATATCTGTCAACCCTGAAGAGTACAAGGAAACCATGTCACGTCTTAAGGCGTTAGAAGACGAGAAGAAGATCTGGTGGAAACGGCACGAGGCTATCTGGAGCCTCCGTGACGAGGATGTGGAGAACAACATCAAGATTCGCGTAAGTGTGCAATTTTCCCTGACCACAAGCTGCATACTAACATTTCATGCAGGGATTGCTTGCAAGCTGTCGCCGCGAGTTGGACGCGACAAAGAAGCTACGGGACGAGGATCTACAAAACGTCCAGATTGTACGATCCAAGCTTGCGGAGAAGACGAGAGAGTTGGAGCGGTTTCAGGCGCAAACCGGACGTTCTAGCCCAAGCCGGGGACGCCCAGGAAGTGTCTTTGAGCGACGTGACACATCGGACCTCTTCACAGCAGCCAAGGTTGCAGCTCTTGAGCAGCGCGCTCTGGAACTGGAGCGGAGAAACTCTGACCTCGTGGCACAACTGGAGATATCGAAGGCTGGTGGCAGCATCGATGACCTAAACCGCGTAACAACACAAGCGTGGACAGCCTCGGGCGGCGGAAATGGACTGAGAATCAGAACCGACGACAGCGAATTCGAGCGGATACCGGCTGGTGCCTCATCGGAGAGTCTGACGGGCTGGCAGCGAATCGAGGCGCTGCTCGAGGAACATATGAGCTACCGCGAGGGCGTCGGAGGCAGGATGCAGGCTCTTCGATCCGAAAAGGAAGTACTACTGAGAGATCTCCACCGCAAGGAGAACGAGTGCCAAACACTGGAGCTCAAGTTACAGCTGCTACAGCGACGGACGGGTATCATAGTTTAATTGATGTCGAAGGGTGGACGCTGGGCGGAGCCTTGTACATTTTTCGTGTAAAACATATTTGTATCATCCAATACCAGCAGGCTTTCTTGGGTGTATTAATCAGTCCTGGTGCCTTTGCGCCTATGAGTGAAATAGTTTTGGGTTTGGGTGAGCATCGCAACCTGCACAAGATGTTGGAAGCTTGGAATAGAGTTTCATCGCGTGTCTAGGTAAAGATCTGCAGCACGAATCGCCAAAAGGTGGCTGACGTGGCTGACGTGCGTCCAAGCTTGATTTCTAGACTTGCGATTGGCTTCGTTCCTGGCCAACATCGTCATTCTACACCCTTCACGTAATTGCAGGAAGCGCTGCCAGGCTTTTTGTATACGTTCCCCACCGCTGGTAGCTGGCATGTTTTTGCCGGAGATGACATCGTTTTGTTTTGTAGGCCTTAAAGGCGGCGCAGTGCGCATGTCTTTTGCAAGTGCATCTAGGCTCGCATTACAGCGCTCTTTTCCACCATGCAGGCTGCTCTCCTATCGCTCCTCATTGTCGCTAATGCAGCCGGCGCGCATACAGGCTACTCGTTCGACCCTCTGCGACACCTCGCTGGCATCGCGCCCTACTTTGAGGAGCCGCAGCTCGACCCTAAGCCACCACAAGGTTGCAATGTAACGCGTGCATCGTACCTGATCCGTCATGCCGCAATCTATGCCAATGATTTCGACTACGAAGAGTACATCGAACCCTTCACCGACAAGCTCAAGAACACGACGGCAGATTGGCGAAGCGCAGGCCCCCTGGACTTTCTCGCTCGATGGAAGACGCCCATCTCCGACAGCGAGCTAGAGGACCTCACTGCGGTCGGGAGGCTCGAGTCGTATAAGCTCGGTGTCGATGTTCGCATGCGCTACCCCAGCTTCAAGGACCCCAAACGTGTATGGGCGTCGACAGCCGAGAGGACTGAACTTAGTGCATCATCCTTCATTGACGGTCTCGTCGCTGAAAGCAACAACACGAAGCTTGTTCCTGTGCGCGAGGATAAAGCACGGGGCGCCGATTCCCTGACTCCATACAAGGGATGTCCAAAGTATAGCTCTTCTTTTGGCAGTGAGCAATCATCGGTGAGTAGTGCAATCCAATATCACAGAACCAACTGACCCTTTCAGGAATACCAAGAGATTTACACCAAGCCTATCATCGAACGTCTACAGGCCTACGCCCCTAGCTTCAACTTCACCGCCGACGATGTCGTAGCTATGCAACAGCTGTGCGGATACGAAACTGTCATTAGAGGCGATTCGCCCTTCTGCTCTCTCGACGTCTTTTCTCAGGACGAGTGGCTGTCGTTTGAGTACATGAATGATATCATGTACTTTTACAACACTGGATACGGAAGTCAGCAACTCGCTGGCGCGCTTGGCATGCCGTGGCTAAACGCTTCTGCCCAAATGCTGCTCTCCGACGACGCCGACCAGGATCTCTACGTCTCTTTCACGCATCGAGAGTTGCCCCCTACGGTCGCTGTTGCAATGGGCCTGTTTAACAACAGTGCCTATTCCGGATCAAACGACGTCAATGGCACCATGCCGCTTGACAGACCAAACTACGGCCGGGCCTGGAAGTCATCAAAGATCCTGCCTTTCTTGTCCAACTTTGTCATTGAGAAGATGACATGCGATAGCTATGGTTTCGATGCAGGCGACTACTTCCGCGTCCTCGTCAACCGGGATGCGCAGCAGATGTCTTGCACTGATGGACCAGGACAGAGCTGCTCAAAACCCGCATTTGAGAAGTTCATCCAGGAGAGGAGTGAGCTTTTCGGTGGCTATACCGAGGAATGTCAGCCAGAGTACACGAACTCTACTAATATTCTAAGCATATACGATTAAAGTAATCAGCCAATTGGCTAATAGTAACTTTTAATTCATCGATTTAGCCTCTTTGAATATGATAACAACACTTGCCTATATGCCGCTGAGTCCCGTGTACGGCCGTTGTTGCAAAAGCGTGACATCATGTCAGCTCATTCTCGTCCTGCCAAGCAATCATCTGTTGATTCGCCAAGCCTTCACGAATCAAAACATGCAAAAGCTCGGCGCGTGGAAAGAGCTATTCGCGTCAAAGTTCGGGTGATTTCCGAGCTATCCGTCGTCGTGCGGGGGCGGAGGAATAGCACCACCGCGACCGCGACGAGAAGTCGGCTTATCTATGGCAAGCGGCTTTCACGTGCTGCTCAAACAGGCCGACAAGCTCCATGAAAGTGGTAAACATGTCTGACTAGTCTTATTGATTTTGTGTAGACGTCATGACTCTGTGCACTGTTCCCACAACACCCGAGTGTGGCACGGCGCGTCTTCTCTACAACCTTCATCTCGCAGGTGTGCCGTTAACCTTGCACAAACTGCCAGTCCGCTAAGATGGGAGACCACTTTGAAAGCCAGGGTAAACCCCCTAGTGTCATCGTCGTCGGTGCTGGTGCTGGAGGCGTGGCCCTCGCAGCTCGTCTCGCAGCAGCCGGGTGCAAGGTCACTGTAGTGGAGAAGAATGGATTTTCGGGAGGAAGATGCAGCTTGATACATCGTAAAGGCTATGTAGGCTGACCCGTTGTTGCGCTACCTTTGCCCACGTTCCCCAACGCTGATGATACTACAACAGAGATTCGACCAGGGTCCGAGCTTACTACTCCTGCCTCGCTTTTTCCACGAGACCTTCGAGGACCTGGGTACGACGCTCGACGCAGAGGGCGTCAAGCTCGTCAAATGCGAACCCAATTACAATGTCCATTTCCACGACGACACGTCGTTCAAGTTGTCGACGGACATTTCCATCATGAAAGAGGAGATTGAACGATTCGAGGGTAAAGATGGCTTTGAGCGCTATCTCTCCTTTTTGCAAGAATCGCATCGCCATTACGAGGTTTCCATTATCCACGTGCTGAGGAAGAACTTTTACTCTCTGCTTAGCATGGTCCGGCCGGCTTTCCTGATGCATCTGTTTGAACTTCACCCATTTGAGAGTATCTACTATCGTGCAAGTAAATACTTTTGGACGGAGAGGCTGCGCAGAGTCTTTACGTTTGCGAGTATGTACATGGGTATGAGCCCGTTTGATGCTCCAGGAACGTATAGTCTGTTACAATACACCGAACTAGCAGAGGGTATCTGGTATCCCATAGGCGGTTTCCACAAGGTTTGTCACATGATTGCATATGGACGACTAAAGGCTAACTGTTTCAGGTGGTTGAGGCCCTTGTCAATATTGGTGAACGATTGGGTGTAGAATACATGTTCGACAGCCCCATTAGAAACATCCAGCTATCAGCCGATGGCAAGCGTGCAACTGGCATTGTTTTCGAGGACGACAACAAGAAACCCTTGACCGCTGACGTGGTGGTCTGCAATGCAGATCTAGCCTATGCATACAGTCGACTCCTGCCTTGCAGCTCATTTGGACGGTCTCTCCTCAAACGCCAGGCTTCTTGCTCCAGTATATCCTTCTATTGGGCTTTAGACCGACAATTCACCGAACTCAGCGCTCATAACATTTTCCTTGCAGAAGACTACAAGGAAAGCTTTGACAGCATCTTCAAGCAGCACTTGATACCAGACCAGCCGAGCTTCTATGTCAACGTTCCCTCCCGTGTCGACCCTTCTGCTGCCCCTGAAGGATGCGACTCCCTCGTTATCCTGGTACCCGTTGGACACTTGCAGGACTCCTTCACGGACGCCCATAAAGGGTCGAAAGGCACAAACGGCCTAACGCAAGACTGGGATACCATGGTCGCTACAGCACGCAGCATGATCCTCAAAATCATGGAGGCTCGCCTCAAGATATCTCTCGGTCCCCACATTATCGAGGAAACAATCAACACGCCGCCAACGTGGAAATCCGCCTTCAATCTCGACCGCGGCGCTATCCTCGGTCTGAGCCATTCATTCTTCAACGTCCTGAGCTTCAGGCCCAAGACAAAGCATCGGTCCATCGAGGACCTGTACTTTGTCGGCGCCAGCACGCATCCCGGAACTGGTGTGCCCATTGTATTGGCTGGTGCAAAATTGGTCGCGGAACAGATATTGGAGGACCGCCACCAGGAGTCTTACATCCCATGGGGCAAAGCAACTACTTCACAGAAAAAGCAAGGTTCAACAAGTCACTTGGATCGTACGCAAAACGGACCGTATTTGAGTTGGTTGGTTTGGATCCTGTTGAGTGTGTTTATGACTGTTGTTGCATCGGGAGCCTGGGTTTCTCGCAATGGTGGTGGGTTGATGGGTGACTGGTAATGGCAGGTGAATCTCTAGCGCATTAATACTTCCTGCTGTTGTATAATCCATTCTCATCTCCAACTAACATGCAATCGTTGTGAACAACCGTGAAGAAGCCCAATAAGCTAACCAGACTCACCATCTCTGAACAAGTTCGAACGAGCACATGGACGCCTCACCCTCGCTATTGCTAGCCCACTCACTCCCGTGACGACATCATTCGCATAGAAAGATTGCACAACAACTAGAGGTAGATGATTTCAACGCTCAGAGTAGATTTCCAACGCTGATAGCGTGATTACTTAGAGTGAGTGGTATTAGACTAAAGAAGGACCAATGGGTATATTAAGCATCAAGTCATAAAAGCCTCAAATCGACGACTTCCTTCCCCCAGTCTGGGGTTTGCCGACCACATCAACAACATGCCTCTGCATTACCATATTACATCATTACTACTTCCACAATACATTCTCCTTCCATTCATTTTATGAGGCTTGTGAGTTGTTCTCGATATAGCCTAGACGGTGGCATCGACTGGGGGTGCGGCGCTATGGTTTTGAGCCTGATGGGGATGAGTGATTAGCGAAGTTCATGAATTGATGAAGTGGCGTGACAGATGAAGAGGAGTAATAAGCTTGGAGGGGTTGACTTACAGGCTTAACCTTCTCGTGTACAACGGCATCACCATCGTAATCCCTGATAGCAAGACCAAGACGAGCAGGGTCAATGTCCCTGTGGCCCCACAAGAGAAGAGCACCAAAGATGGGCTTGGCCAAAAAGTCAAGTACACCGTAGAATACGGCCTCACTGTCGGGAGCAACAAGGTTACTACAAAACGAATTAGCAACTGAAGGTCCCAATAGTAATGTTCAGAGCAAAACTTACGCGCCCTCGCAGACACCCCAAGCAATTGGGTACAGGAGCCAGAGGAAAGCAGTCAAACTTCCGCACATGAGGAAGCACCTCTCAACATCGCGGCCAAACTTCTTAGCTTGTAGGCGAGATTCCCAAACAAGGTGGTAGACGATGTAGAAGAGAGCGACGCAGCCAAAGACAAAGTACGCCCACTTGTAGCGGTTGTCGATAAGGGCACCAATGAGTCCAGTGATAATCATGATCTCATCAACAGCAATGACGAACATCGTGGTGGGCCAAGGTGTGCCCGCGGTCAACAATAGATCGAGCAACAAGAGAGGAGTTGTGATGAACCAATCAATGTATCGAGCATAGTAGACGGCACGGTAGGTTCCACGGACCACGGAGTCGTCCCTGAAGAACTCGACGCGGATGGGGGTGAAGCCCAAGTTGGAACCCATGGTAACTAGCGTTGACGTTAGGGCACTGTACAGACAAATCTTGTCTCTGAAGTTTACTTACAGTAAGCAATGGCGGCAACGAAGACTACCGCAGCAGTCAAGTAGTGGAATAGACGGTCGCGACGCGCCTTGCGCTGGCCGAGGATTACAAACGCGAATCCAGCGAAGCCCATGACGGCGCAGATGGCAAAGTAGAAATCTGAGCCATGAGTGGTGATGGCGATATCAGCCGTCCTACCGTTGACGGTATTGGCTATCAGTTGTTAGGCGTGAACATGAAGATCAGCTTCAAACCAAGGGAGCATACTGTTGAGATCAAGAGCATCGTTCCTGCGTACGAAATCCATCATGGCCTTGGTTCCCTGTTGATGGCGTAACAAAAAAGCTTGATGGATGAATAGCTGAATACCAAGAAGATACAATGGTCAGAGTAAGGCAGCCGCAGGGCTTCCAGGCTATATCATGTTTTGGCGCCCTGCAACGCAACAAAGGGATCATCCAGTCGTCATGACGACATATGTGTAGCAGATCTGCACACGTCGAAACTGCTCGTACGATCGAGCTGCCCAGGCATATCGAATGAAATGATCAACGAATCGGATACGTCGGATGCGGCAAAGGGTTACTAACACCTAGTTCCCCACGGCTTGATCGCGCTCGGAGGGTGGGTTTCGAGGTAAACGTCATGTAGAACCTAGCGCGAGGCCGTACCCGTCACACCACTTAGAGGCCCCGCTATCATCATTAAGCTTTATCACGTAAATCTCCTGAGCTTGATTTCACATCAATCGCATGATGCGCAAATCGGCAATTGGCCGGCAAATCATACGTCAGTATTTTGATCTCCTGACGTTGCATAAAAATGCCTCCTACATGGGTGCGCTCAGGCTGATCTGTCGTGTGCTGTCGTGTGTCGTGCTGGGGTGTTTACAGTACACTGGGTGCGGGCGCTACTGCCATTGGCAGAATCTGTCATGTACACGGCGATGCCGAGGCTGCATCTACGAGGGTATGAGGGTTTTACTTCCTCGAAGGGTATCGCAAGTGTGCGCTCCCCTACAACGATGCCAAGTGTGGATACACGAGGAGAGACATGTTGGATACAAATCGGTACAAAGATCGGTGTGCACATGATGGCTGACTTTTGCATAAGTGTACTGGCATTATTATTATGACTAAACGGAGAAAGAGTCCAGGCCTTACTAGCCAAGGTAGCTAATGATCGACTTTTGCAAATGGCTCCATCTACTATCAGATGGGTGGTGGGTCTCAGATCTTAGTGTTTGGACATCCCGCTGGCGTGATATGTCCTCTTCAGTGAACCAATTGCCATGCAGGCCGTACGGTATGCGGGTCTGGAGTTGTACCTTGCAAACAACGGTTTGCATATCGCGCGCATCCAAGACCCATAGCTCACTTCTCGCGTCTGGTTTGCACTCGCCTTCTTCGTCCAGTTGGTCCTCGTTGAAGACATAGAAGAGCAGATATCCGTCTTCCTCAGCTAACGCGACGTCACCTTGCCCTGTGGCCTTGCGAGGCACAAATCTAGCTTCTTGTCCAAAGTGATTGGGTGGAAGCCTGAATGCCTTGATAGGATCATTGGCATCCTTCGACGCAAGGACCTCATCAATGTTACGGTTGTCGACACAACCAGAGATTGCTTCAGGTGCGGAATCATCCGCGCGAGCAAGCAGAGTCTGCACGTCAATTCTTACTAGTACATCGATCTTAGTAGCCTTGCCTAGCGCTGCGCCGAAAGATTCGATCACAGTGCTGCAGCCGTAGACATAGCGTGCGCGTGACATTTCCGTGAGCGGTGAAACCGTAGGGAACTCGAAGGATATGGCCGACAGTGCAAACTCGTGGGTGATCGTATTCGTAGAGCCAGGACTCAGTAAGAAACGGTAGTAATACAGCCGACATTGCTCCTCGTCATCATGTGAGATGGGTATATTGGGGATTGTCGCGGGACCTGAGTCGTCGTAATGAGATATGGATGTGTTCCGTTCCAACAATGGCGAAGTGTCGTCCAAGAATGGTTTTTCAGGATCTTTAGCATGGTCCTCGTCATCGTACTTGGCAAAGAAAGACATGGGTCTATTGCGCGTCGTCGATTCGCGATTTGGGTGTGGGGGCGGCGGGAGGTTAGCTGCACTAAACACGAGAGATGCCGAAGTCAGACGACATGCCAGGAGATTCACCGCTACCACATCGTCGCTACCATCGAATTCGTCCCATGCATTTGCCGTATGAAAGATGCAGCAACCGCGTGTCTCGAACCATCGTACTAGACCAGGTTGCCGACGAGGAAATACGCCGAATCTGGCGGGTTTCTCGGGTTCATACACAACGATCGGTTTGTTCTTGGCCAAGTTTAGAGGCGTGAGAGAAAGCGGCAGATCGAGGATGACTGTGTGGTGCCTGGATACACCAAAGTCGTGCATAAGCCGCCCACCGGAGCAACCGGGGACGGCAGCGTTGAGGATCGCCTCCTTTTCTGATTTGCTCTTACTGTTGCCCTTGGCCGGAAGTAAAGAGTAGTGTACATAAGGCGGAACAAAGTTGCAGTGAAAGAGAACCAGCTCATCGGTCACTGTGTCAACTTTTGGATGTCCGGTAGTCCACTCATTCATCCAGCTGAGCAAACCGGTACCTCCAAAACATTCTTTCTGTGCGTCGCGACTGGAAGTTTCGTCTTGCGGGGTAGCCTCACCTTCGGCCTCGTGCCCATCAAACCAGCCCACCGTTTCCAGGCTGGGCAAGGCAATGCGCATCGGGGGACCGCTTTCGCAGGTTGCCAGTGCACGTCCATCGTGGAACAGGATGCTGGTATTAGCCACGCTTATTCGCTTGATGGCTCGTGCAGATCCCGACAGATGGGTGTAGAGTACGACGAGAACAGTGCGCAAGATTCGCCAGAGGATGAACAGCAAGCTGGATGCGGGGTTGACGAGGGTTGAAATGCTGGGCAGGATGGGCGTGCGGAGCGTGGGGTTTTGGATGGCGGTGAGATAGACATCGGTCAAGATGAATTGGTTGACGAAGTTGACAACAGGCTTGGCAGCAGCATCGTGGGCGCGACTGAACCACACGCCCGAGAGCATGCCGTCGCCATCGAACCAGTGGGCCTCACGGCCAAGGTCGTCGTTAGTCACGGGATTGCCGCCGTTACGGACGTACATGCCGCCGAGCAGCTCGTCCGGAATATGGCCGGACCATGTGACGGGTGTGGGCGGACATGTTGAAGTGACAGACGCAAAGTTACCAGAAAGGTACCTGGCAGGTGGTTAGACCAAGTGAGGGGAAGAGTCGGGGTACAGAGAGGGGAAGAGGGCAGAGAGAGGGGGGGTGCTTACGGGTGTCTCGGTGACTTGTCGTTGGGCTGGCCAGTCTGGGACATGGCGACTGTATAGATATCTTGGCAGCATCGGTCGACGAACTGGTGCAGAAACAGCTGGTACGGTCAACGGCGCAAGCATCCATTAGTACAAAAGCGCCATGCCCGGTATTCACATGTCACTCGCCATAGCGCCGCGGCCTTGGCCTCGGTGCGGCACCGGCAGGATATGGATTAAAGAAGAGGGGGCATGATGCTCGATTGCCAGGTTTCACGGTGGTGCGGGCACTGCGCCGGACGCGTCGGATTGGGATTGTGAATCGGATCGGGGTGGAGAGATGATGATGTCACGTTGAGGCGGATACTGGTACGCTAGGCCGATTTGGGTGCATGGCATGTTAGACCTCGGGCGTGCAGCCCCGTCTGCCGTCGCTGTGTTCTAGCAAAAGAAGCTCCACCATGGAATCCTCTTCGCCAGATCCTGCGCCTGTGCCTGTCATCTGCCAGCCGCAGTCTAGTCAGTCCCCCTGCATTGGATCTACGAGTGAGTGAAGCCGCTTGTACAGTACATTGTGCTGGCTACTTCCTCTTGCTCAACGGCGCCATCATGGGCTTTGACTACGCGCTCGTGTACGTGACGTGCCTCTGCGCTGTGATACACGGCAATGGCTGACTGTGACGGCTAGTCATCTCAAGTACACCATCCCTCCGGCTGTCCTGCTCACCTGGCTGTACCGTCCCTTCTTCACCAAGCTCGACGTGTATAAAGTTGGTTATCTAGTTTCTGTATGTACTTTCACCGCCAACGGCTGATTGCCGACCACGCCGCCATGTGCTGACGCCCCAGATCGCTGTTGCTTCAACGATACCATGGGACTCGTACCTCATTCGCACCGGCATTTGGAGCTACCCCACTCACGTTATCATTGGCCCAAAGCTCTGTGATATACCGCTTGAAGAGGTCTTCTTTTTCATCATACAGACGTACAACACCTCGCTCCTCTATCTCCTCCTCAGCAGGCCCACCTTCCAGCCCGTCTACCTCAACACCGAACGCGGCGCCGCCCGACGTCAATGGCGATATATGCGCCTTGCCGGCCAAGTCTTCTTTCTGGCCTTGATTGCATGGGGTTGGCGATGCATTAGACATGGAGGCCTGGGCACATATACCGGCCTCATTTTGGTTTGGGCTGGCCCTTTCCTACTGATGTTATGGTATGCCAATCACTACCGCAATTGTTTCTTCTGGCCACTAATCAGAAGCAGGTCCCTTGCATATCAATTCATCCTGGCTCTTCCTGTGACCAATACCGCCTTGCCCATTTTCCTCCCGACCCTGTACCTATGGGTAGTGGATACACTGGCACTGCGCAGAGGAACCTGGGTAATCAGCACAGGCACCAAATATGGACTTCACCTATGGGATGGTCTCGAGATTGAAGAGGCTCTCTTCTTCCTCGCCACTAATGCCCTCATAGTATTCGGCCAATTGGCGTTTGACAATGCTCTCGCTGTGCTGTACACATTCCCACACCTGTTCACGGGCCCGTCACTGTTGCCCTCGCCTGTTCTTTTGATGCGCGCCCTGCTTACTCCCTGCTCAAAGTACCATGACGCGCGCATCAAGGGCCTCGACGAAGCTGTGAATCGTCTGAAGCGCAAAAGCCGCAGCTTTTACCTTGCCTCTGCTACCTTTCCTGGTCCATTACGCGCGGACCTACTATTACTTTACTCGTTTTGTCGCGTTGCCGATGACTTGGTGGACAACGCTTCCGATGCCGACGAAGCTAGGGCTTGGATAGCAAAAATGCGCAAGTTTCTAAACAATGTGTACAGCGACAAGTTACCACAGTCTGTAGTGCACAGCCAAATATGCGACGACTTCCCACCTAGCACACAGTCTGCACTTCTACAACTGCCTGCCACCAAACTGTCGCCCCAGCCACTGGAGGATCTGCTGCATGGATTCGAAATGGACCTGGCCTTTCAACAGGGACCAATTATCAGGACCATGGAGGATCTGCGCGTGTACTCGGAACGTGTGGCAGGTACTGTAGCTCAAATGTGCATTCAGCTCATCTTCTATTGGTATCCTAGTACATTGGATACTGAAGAGAAGAACGTGATAGTTGCTGCTGGCAACAGTATGGGCGTGGCGTTGCAGTACGTCAATATTGCGCGAGATATAGAAGTAGACGCTCAGATTGGTCGTGTATATCTTCCCTTGAATTGGCTTTCTGAAGCGGGACTTAGCTACGATGACGTGCTGAAGAAGCCGAATCAAGCTCAGATTCAGACTCTACGTAAGCACCTCCTAAACCATGCTTTCTCTGTCTACGAGAAGGCCAAAGATTCCATCGAGCGTTTGCCAATCGAGGCCAGAGGTCCTATCCGGGTTGCGGTGGAGAGTTATATGGAAATCGGACGGATCCTAAGAAGTGAACAATACCAAGTGAAGGCTGGTCGCGCTACCGTACCGAAGTCGAGGAGGATAATGGTAGCTTGGAGAACACTGAACAGTAAATAATGTAATATTAGATGAGTTAAACGTTCGGAAATAAATCGGAAACAACCGCGCACGTGCAGGATGATGTCGCGTCCTACCCCAACTAAACTTCTTAATCGCTCCAACATCGTTGCTCACATTGCACACTTGCATTTGACATACATTGTAATCTATGGAATGTATGCGAATCGGCTGCTTGGTCCCGAAGGGGCATCCTTTGCAACCACTGGTAGGAAAAGAAAAAGCGTGTCGCGGATAGCAACACGTCCAACAAAAGGCAACTATAAGAAGCTATTATGGTTCAAGCAGCCTTGTAAGTCGCACATAAGCTTACAGAAAGCCAATTCTAATTTGCGCAGTTCCCGACAACTATACAGATGAGACAACTTTTCTGGATCACCTCCAGAGAAATCCACGGCTACAGCCATACGAGTTCTGGTCGCTCATGTCAGATGCCACAGTCATCGTGCAGCATCTTGCATCTGTCATCATATTCTGCTGCTGTTTTGTAGCCATCATCCAAAACAGGGTGTCTCCCATTGCAGTGGTCGGGTGGGCTAGTATATGCACCGTTCTGGCGTGGCTTTTGTGGGATCACTGGATGGGTCAAGAATTCGACAGTATCGCGAATGTGCCCACATCAGATACAGAGCAATCTACATCGAGTGCGCCACAAGCTCACTCTCTCCGAACTCAACAACGCATCGCAACCGCAAAATCAGCCGTATTGATCTATGCAGCTCTACTTGGGCTGAGTCCAATCCTCAAGTCACTCACTCGTTCCACTACAAGTGATTCGATATGGGCTTTGAGCACATGGCTGCTCATGATGAATGTCGCCTTTTTCGATTACAGCGGGGGCACAGGTGCACAGTATGAGCAATCTGTCTCCTTATGCTACATATGGCTAACTGTTGCTCTTACAGCTTACCAGCCTCAATATCCACGAATTCTGCGATGATGGCGTCGGCTGTTCTTGCCTCGCGTTTACCGTCCACTACTCATGTGTTTTCATTGACTTTATTCTCCATCGAGATATATGGCTTATTTCCAATTTTCCGTCGACAGCTCCGCGCCCGGTCACCGTGGGGGCATCTTGCCCTAACCATCACTCTGATAACAGGCGCATGGGGTGGTCTATTCGTTGTCCTCACGGGAAACGGCAGTGGTGCATTCTTGGCCGGAGCAATTTTAGGTGGCATTCTCACGTTCCTCAGTATGGGCATCTGCAGCTGGTGGCTCATCGGCCTTCAAAAATACAAGAATGAAATTCATGGGCCATGGGATCCCGCAAGGCCTATTATACGACGGCATTGGGATTAGTCTGTTTATCCGCAATTTCCATGCTAGTCGAAGGATAGGTATCATACGCAGATATGGTACAATATCCATACAATGGCCAGACACCTGTTTGATTTTGTATTCCCCGCGACCCCGATCCATGTTTATCGACGCGTTCTTGCAACTGGTATCTGGAAAACACTTCCAGCTGCATTTTCCCGTTGTTTCGTGTCCATTTGACAATCTTATGGTTGCTCTGGTCTCCAAGCACACACTGGCTCATCCGGAAGAGCAAGTCGTTCGTGCCAACATCATCTCCGCCAACGAAATGGACTGGCGAACACGGCGGCTGTTGACCCATCCCTCTGCCCCTGCTCGCACCAGTTACAACTATTCTCTCAAGATCTTTGAGTTCTGATAGCATGCTCCTCAGGACATTCCAGAGTTCGATTCGGGGCATGGGAATTACGGGCCACGCTTCGAGATTGATTCGAATACACTTGAGGCCAGCCGCATCGATACGTAAGGAGCTGATTGTTTTAGTTCCTGTCATCGCCAGATACTGCAACCATCCGCGTGTGATATGGGCATGGTCCGAGTCGAGATTGCGCATGTCTATCTCGATGTCCTGAATCCGCGTTCTGTATTCGACTGGAAGTCCAAGAAGGAAAGACCGCATCACTTCAGGGTCTGAGAAGCGGAAGGTATTTTGTCTGAATAGGGGACGACGATCGACTTCATGGTATATTCTGCGGCATGTTTGAAGCAGAGAGGCCCCTGGTGTTGCACAAGGCATTATACCACATTGTTCGTTGACACGTTCAATGGTGATCGGTGATTCATTGGTGAAGCATAAGCCATAAATGATGTGCTTGATCTCAGCTGGTAGTCGGAGCAGTGGTGATTGGGACTGGAGGTTTTCGGGGGGTGTAATGACAGCCATGGTAGATGACATGTGAGGATGAGAGTAACGTCTGACGGCGGCGTCTTATCAGCTTTAACTGAGCATTGGGAGAGCCTGGCTTGTGCTAATGGCCCAATCCAGATGCTACTCAGCTACTGTTAGTTTTTCGTCTATCTCTGCATCGTGGCGTTACACCGGCACATTCTATCAGCCATTGCACGCCATGAGGCGTCAGTGGCCCAAGTGTCCAGCTCCCCGACAAATCCCACAAGTGGGATATGTTCCCTGAAAATTGTGCAATTCCGTACGAGTATTTGACCTATAGAGTATCTAAAGCGGTGAGTAGAGACGTCAAGACCCACCACTCCCGTTTTCGGCGACATTCTGCAGCTGAAGCTTACGGTACATTACGGGTCAGCTCAACAAAATTTTCTCCATCCTTTCCTCTCATTCGAAAATCTTGTACAATTTGCCTTGCGCTATGATGCGCTGTAAGAGTTGTCGAAGTGATGCAGGGAGAGGGCTGTGAGAGAAGGACCGGTATACGCTTCCTCGGAATCCACCCTATCAAACCTTTACAGCTGCTTTTGCAGAGTGATACTGCATACTGATGGAGAGTTGATATCCCACGAAACACACGAAGCCTCACAGACTCGTCAGTCACACAGAGCATGTAGTTTCAGAGCCCAGATTCCGGCCCCCAATTCCAGCATGGAGGAGCGAGGCTCCTTAGGGGCGGCTTGTGGAAGCTTTCCCGGCCATCGCAATTTTCAGCCTGTCCGGCGCGTAGCTCTCGACCACACGTGAATTGAGGGAAATATTCTCCACTATCTGCAAAACAAAGCAGAAGAACGGCGCCATGTCATTGCGACCAGACGAAGGTTCAAGACGGTCGCGGTCCAAATCGCCTGGGCGCGGTCGCGAACGTGATCGCTCACGCAGCCACAACGGGCGAGAGCCTCAGCGATACGGTGCAGCTGACGGTGCAGGACCCCCGCAGTATGAAATCAGGCAGCCAGGTAATCAATATGCGACGTGAGTACATCGACGTTCTGACTCCCCGAAATGTCTCCCACAAACATCACGAGAGCCAAACTGAGATATGGCGGCCAGATCAACGAGCGCGCCCATTACTATGGGCAACTACAATGACCTCCCGCCTCACGAACGTCCAGGTTATCACCCCCAGACGGCATCCTTTGCGCATCCCTCTACCACAGCAGCGCCCTCGACGGGTATCGCATATGCCCAACCCGGAAATGTGCAGTATGCGCCGACCACAAACAACTTCGCCTACACGGCAGCGCCAGCCTCCCAAAGCGCGTATACAAGATCGCACCCGAGGACACCGTCTGCGACAAGTGGTAGCTTCCAATATGCAAACCCACCCGCAAACATTACCTACACGGCGAAGCCCGCCACTAGCAACCAGCCGCCCGCTGTGCGACACAATACTCAGCCCATGAGCCCCTCATACTCTTCGCCGCCGCAGTCACAATACTCGAATACGTCGCAGACACCCTCATCGCAGCAATCGCAATACTCAGCCATGCCACAGGCGCCTCCATCGCAATCGCAGTATGCAGCCATGCCGCAAGCTCCCCCTCCACCGCAAGCTGCCCAGCACGCGTACCCCCCTCCGCCAATGGGCCAACATTCGCCGCGCCCCGAGCACCGTCGCGCGGCTTCGCATGACGGCCGTAATGTGGTAGAATTGCGTCCCCAAGGCAACTATGGCCGACCCGATAAGCCTGAAGAATTGCGTCCACAAGGCAACTATGGTCGACCTGATAGGCCTGAAGAATTGCGCATGGACAGGCTGTCTGTGAGCGGAAACAGGCCTGATCTGCGCATGATTGTACCCGGAGGCATGCCTGGAGGTTTCCCCGGTGGACTACCACCACCAAGTCCTTTGCTCGAAGCTTACCATGGCACTTATCAATCGCTCAGCCCTATGCCGCAGTCCCTTATGCTAGACGATGACGACCTCAATCATCTGCCCACTCTCGAGACCCTTTCTCCTCGAGATACTCTTTCGCCCCGGGACACACTCGCTCCCAGAGCTTCCAGTCATTCGCGGTCTTCTAGCAAGGGTAGGCATGTTCGCCGTCGTACCCGTTCGACCTCGCGACGACCTTCAAGCCCACCGTCGCATTTTAACCGTACCGATAAGCTAGCTGTGGCGACATATGATTATGGAGACCGCCTCCCTGAGAAAGAGAAGCGGAGAGTGCGCATATATGATGCGACCGAAGACGCGCTTGCGCTTACCAGTGCCATGGCTGGCACGCCTGATGCGGGTACAATAATTGATATCATCCCAGCTCTGTCGCATGACCAAATGCTCGAGCTGAGAACTGAGTACAAGCGGCATTTCAAGTTACAGGGTCGGGGAGTCAATATTGCGAAACACATCAAGATGAAAATTCCTGGTAGTTTTGGCAAGATTGCCTACATCACAGCTCTAGGCAAGTACGAAAGCGAGGGTTATTGGGCAAACTACTGGTACCAGTCCAACTCGGCTCGTCGCGAGCTCCTCATCGAAGCCCTCATGGGTCGCCAGAACCATGAGATCCGCGAGATCAAGGATTCTTTCAAGGACAAGCGTTATGGCGACTCGCTCACGCGCTGCATGGACAAGGAGCTCAAGGCCGACAAGTTCCGCAAGGCGGTCTTGTGGGCGCTCGAAGGCCAGCGGCAGGAAGAGAGCGATGTCTGGCCACCTGAAAAGCGCGATCGCGACGTTGATACGCTGTACAGGGCAATCCGAGCCAGAGAGGGCGGCGAATCAGACATGTTGGAAATTGTTGTGACGCGAAGCGATGCGCACTTGCGAGACGTGCTGAGAACGTACGAACGGTATTACCAAGGTAATTTTGCGCGAGATGCGCTGAAGAAGAGTAACAATCTTGTTGGAGAGGTTATTGCACATATCCTCAATGGCGTCAGTAAGTCATACACCTCCCTATGTAACACAAATTCACCCAAAGTACACCATACTAACACGAATTCCCACCAGTTAACCGCCCAGCGAGAGACGCTATGCTCTTGAACCACGCACTGGTCGATCTCATCGAACCCGCCAGCGACCCCCGCTCCTCCGGACGTTTATCCGCCACGAGCAAGCACGAACGCCAGCAAAGAGTCGAATTGCTCATCTCCCGCCTTGTGCGCTTACATTGGGACCGTCTGCATTTCTCAAGGGTGCAGACAGAGTACGACGAAAAGTATGGGCGTGTGGTGGAAGAAGACATTGAGGAGGCTACAAAGGGTGATTTCCGAGAATTTTGTCTGGCTATTTGTCAGGCGGGGAGGTAGGGCGATGTGGAAGAGCTGGAAGGGTTGTATGAGAGACACCCTTCTTGTGGTCTTTTGGTCTTGAATATGGTCAAAATTGTGGTTCCTGTACAGGCGGGTACTTCAGGGACGCAACAATCATATATCCAACGAAACGGATAACTTGAAGCTCCATCCTTGACCAATGTCAATTTCAACCCATCAGCCAGGTGTAGCAGCATTAAAGCGAAACCATAAATTCATATCATCATTATTAAAACATACTAAAATCAAGCCCGATACGTATACGTTGCCCTTGACATACGTTCCGAACTCGCAGAAAGCCAAGCATCCGCCTCCGCCAAACTCCCACCCCTCGCCCCATCCATCTGCGACTGCGATTGCGTCGTAAAACCACCATTACCATGCAGCCCATCATTCCCACCAAACATGCTTGTTCCCAACGCCCTTTCCGGGGGATTGAGAGTCCCCGTATGTGCATTCACCGCTGCCCCCAACGACGAGGCTTGCGTCATAGACGTGAACAGCGAAGAGGGATTTGCGTCTGCCCAGCGGAGAATGTTGCGACTAAGTGTGATTGGGCTTTCGTCACCGTTGCCCATGTCGTCGACGAGGTTTTCGTCGTCGAAGGGGAGGGTGGGAAGGGGGTCGGAGAGGTACGTTGACGAAGCATAGGGTTTGAGGGATAGACTTGAGTTTGACAAGTGTGAAGACATGGTTGTACCATAGCCACTTGACGGATACATGTCTTTTGTGATATCGGTGCTGTACGACTGGCTGGTCCTGTGTAGCTGCTGTTGTGAAGAAGACGAAGAAGAAGTCTGCGTAGCAGAATCGTCAGGTTTAGTAGAGGAGTCTGTTTTTTCTTGTTCAAGGGCTTGCTTCTCCATGCTACGTTCCTTCTCCTTGGTCTTGAGCTTGTACCCCGCCTTTGCATATTTCTCTGGATATCTAATCCTGAATCGATCGCGTAGATCGGTGGGGTGTCTTGTTCCAAAGTCGAGCTCGGCGTCGTCGCGCATAAAGTGCCACACTGGGCCGTACTTTTCGAACCCCTTGAGCAGATTCATGTCGTCATTTGCGCTAAAGGCGCGGCGGGGCCGACGTGTGGTTTTTGAAAATGGCTCGCGGATACCTAGTTCGGCAAGGTCGGGTATCACTGTCTTGTTGCGAGGTGGTGCGCGTTGTTGATTTCCTAATTGCTTCGGAGAAGCAATAGTCTGAGTGGAGGCGGAGTTTTCTGCATTGCTTGGTGACGGCTGCTGATGGGTAGGAGACGCATCCACTGATGGGCCTGGGGGCACATCGTCCTTCTTCTCCTTCCCTTTTGCTTTTGGTTGCCTTGGCTTCAGGCCTTCACCAGGGCAACATACACGGAATCGGTCCTTCAAATCGACAGCCGTCCGGTTGTGAAATGTAAAATCCGGGCTTTGCAATATCTTCTTCCAGTTCCCGATTCCGAATTTACTGACACCTACGAGGAGATCCTTAGTCTCTTGTTCAGACCATCTGTTCCGCTTCTTGCCGCGTTTGGTTGGGACCTGATCTGAAGCGGTTGTTGCCTTGTTGGTTAGCACATCCGTTTCTGGAACAGCAGCTGTACTGTTGACAAGTGTATTTTGAGCCCCTGGTTGAGAAACTGACATGGTCTCTCCATGTTGATTGATTCTGCCGAGTTCTTGTGTCCCGTTTTCAAGAAAGGCATGGTCGTCCACATCTTTAGTTCTCGACTCGTCGAATAGAGAGTCGTAGCCCCTGTCCCCTGCGAAGGCATTCTTCTCGCCGGTAATCGGTGGAAAAAGCCTACCCTCAGGCGGTAAAGGAGGCGGTTGATGTAAACCTTGTAGCAACGGAGGTATCCTAGGTCGTTTTGCTGTCCTTTTGGGCGGTTGCGGCAGTCTCGGTAGTTTGATTACAGATGGGCTATATCCCGTATTTTCAGGTTGTAAGAACTGCTGATCCTGGTCCCATCGCTGTTTCGAATGTTCCGGGCTGTCTAGTAGTAGGTCGACTAACCTGCCACTGAAGGGGGTTGTCGATGATGACGTAAAAGTAGTGGGTACAGATTGTGCGGACAGTCGATTCCCCTCGTCGTTCAACACCTGTGCAATTGGAGCGCTAGGCATAGCTCGTGTAGGAAAATTCCTGTCTTGGGTCTCTTTGCGGATGTCGTTTGCTTGGGAGTTTTCAGGAAGTGAGTTTCCCAGCATGAGCGCTTTAGGGCGTACGAAAGTAGGATCGGCAGGATGTGATGGCCTTTCCGTGCCAGGGGACGCCATGCCCGACGAGCTCATCATGGACGCGTTGTCCTGGGTCGAGATATCTAGCAATGCATTTAGTCGAGGCTCCATGATTGGAGACTTGATCGTGACCATGTCGAAAGAGGTAGAGATCCGGGGCGTCTCGCGTGGCGATGCAGCCCGCCAAGCCGCCGCTAACAGGAACCATGCATAAGCGTTGCCTACTGGATGTACATGTTCAACCAGGTTGACACTTGGAACCATATGAATTTAATACGAACTATGCTTCCAGCTAGTTAGTACGCCCAGAACATGCACGAAGCAAACAATCGATATTAAATTTTCCATAACGATGTTACACACCAAGTGACCGGATTTCAAACTTGCATGGTTCCAATCATACCTAGGTACACTACTACATACAGGATCTACTGATACAAAGGAACGTCTGAGAGAAGCGCAAGACTACAATCAACAGCTACAACTCTATGGCAAACGCGCCAAAACAACACCATCCAATGCCACCCAATATCCGAGCAACAAGACGACGGTGTTATGCGAGCAAGCAAGCCGAGAAAAGATGTCGATTGAAAACTCTCGTCGAAACAGAAAATCAGCATGCTGCTTGCAAAAGAACCAACATTCCCACACGAGTACATTCAGTGCGCTCCAGAAGCTCTGCCGTTTGTTTTTGTGGCAATATCAGACATCTTGGTATCGGCATGGACCTTCTCAAGATACTCCTTGTTGCCTGCGGGTGTTGCCTTGATGGTCTCATCACCGGGATTCCAGTTGGCCGGGCAGACCTAGTGAAGTCAAGTTAGCTCTTGTATATATTGGGAGATGTGAATGTACGAGTTGAACATACCTCACCGTACTTATCGGTGAACTGGAAGGCATCGATCAGACGGAGTGTCTCGTCGACCGACCGTCCAACAGGCAAGTCATTGATGGTAATCTGGCGTATAATGCCATGGGGGTCGATCAAGAACAGTCCTCGCAAAGCGATACCCTCCTCTTCAATCAACACTCCATAATCCTTGGACACGCTGTGGTTCTTGTCACTCAACAGCGGTATGTTGATTTTGCCTAGACCGCCATCCTTCTTGCTTGCGTTCGTCCAGGCGAGTAGACTATACTCGCTATCTGTGCTAGCGAAGACGACGCTGGCGCCGCGGGCGGCAAAGTCGGAGGCGCGTTCACTGAAGGCGATGATTTCTGTCGGGCAGACAAAAGTCCAGGCCATGGGGACGAAGCCGAGGACAAGCCATTGCTTAGTGGATGTGTAGGTCGTCAAGCTGAGTTCTGAGTCACATGTCAGTATTGGATATAGGGGATTTGGGGCAAGATGGCGGTGTACCTTCAAAGGTGCCATCAACAACTGCTGTGCCAGAAAAGTGAGGCGCGGCTTTCTGCACCCGCGCTTTAGGCTGATAAGCTGGAAAAGCCATTGGCGCGTTTGGTGGTTTGTACGACAAGAGCGATGCGACAGATGCTAACTGGGAAAACGCTGGCTGCAAAGTTGGCGCAACGGGCTTGCAGGGTCAAGGTGTGATGGCGTGCAGTGATTGCACTATGTGTAGAGTCTGACGTAGGTCAAGATGTCGCGATTAGAGTAGGATGAAAGCGTGAAAGAAAGAACAGCGATAGGCCGGGTAGGCGACTAGGAATAAATGCAAAGAGGTATCAAGTCTCAAGATCAGCAGATAATTTGCGACAGATGTCAAAACGCGTGGTCCCAGCCGACTAGCCCTACTCAGATAAGCGTCGACACGCTTCATTTACAAGCCTCAATGGCATGATTATACGGTCCTCGTGGTCTTATCGGCACCATTGCCTCGCAGGTGAATGTGCTCTCGCCCATATGCATGCATTACAAGGTTTACGAATGGTCGGGTCGAGACTTGGCCTGCTTACAGAAAGGGTCCAAAGTTTGCAGCCGTCACCCTACTTACACGGCTTGCCGCCCGCTAACATGCTTGTAGCCACTAGAACTTCAAGCATCGAGAGTGGCTGATTACTACAACACAAACCCTTACATACTGACGTTTTTTGTGTCCAGCTGCGCGGCAAACGTACCTGCATGTGTCGAGCTGCATGCGGCCTTGCACTTGCGCTATTTGGCCGATCAGCGACGCCTAGTCACGAGGGAGCGCGTGGACGCGGCACAGAAGTGCGCCAGCCTGCAAGCCACTTGCGCACGCATAATGCCGAGTCTAAAAGTTCAACGTCCATTGTCCAACATCTGCACCAAGGAATGGCAACTTCAGTCGAGTATTTCACAGGAGAAGACGGAATCGTTGTATTACAGCTTCAGTGCCATGTTATATGCTCTAAGGAGCAATTCTCCATGCCCGCATAGGCAAAGCCTGTATCCTCATAACGGCCGGCTTAATGTACCCCCAGAAAGTAACCACACCGATTACAATACAGAGAATGTTCACAATATAATATCCATCAGTTGTGACATTGCAGATACCGCCCCCCTCAATACACTTGTGCTTCTCTGGCTCAAGAGCACAAGAGAAGGGTTGTGTAACTAGAGGACCCTTGAGGAGATCAGGCTTGGGCGGGTTGGTTGGCGGTATGCACGTTGCTGCAGTAAACATGTCGACGGCCTTGAGAACAAAGTAGCGCGGGAATGTGCCGCCTAGGTTGGAGACGCTGTGTCATGTCAGTCATCGGTAGTGTGTCAGCAAGGTGAGGAAGACTTACGTAGCGAGCAGCGTCATGTATGTGCCACCGATGAGCGGGTCAGATATCTTCGCATGGAAAGCGCTGACAGCGACAAACATGACTGTATTCATAAAGGTCGACAGCACATGCTCGGCAATAACCAGCAAGACAAATCCAGACGATGCGCCTCCAACTGGGAAGATGGATACCACAAACTGTGCGAACCCAGCAGCCACCAGACGCCCGATAAAAGACCAACACCAGATGTGCATTGGTGGATATGTTTGGCACCATTTACCAATGTAGTACCCCAGGAAAACCTCGACAGGAAAGTCGACGAGAATGACGAGCGACAGCTGCTCCTGCTTCAAGCCCTTGTCCAGTAGCTTCAGACTCGTAACCGCGTCATTGGCTTGGAAGCCGATCTTGGCGATAAGATGGATGATGATGAAGCTTTGGATGTTCTTCAACTTCAAGATGCCCCACATTGAACGGTAAACCTCGCTGATTCCGTCACCGTTCTTGTCGCGATCTTCGCGCTTCATGACTGCCAATCCCAAGGTAACAATCAAGTATGCCCATCCCCAGAAGCTCAAGTAGCCGTCGAGCTCCATGATACCCGTCTCTGCCGGAATGGTGCGGAACCATCGATTTGCGAAATCTTTCGAGTTGAAGGCCAAGAAAACGGTGTAGGAGAGGAACTGGCCTGCAGTCAGACCGACGGTTTGCGCCGTCGAAGCGTACGCGAGGTTCTCGTTGGAGAGGAGGGTGAGGGCCCAGCCTGGTTGTTGTTAGCATCCAAATCTGACATGCAAAGTGTCATCCTTACCATCCACAGCAATATCCTGAGTAGCGCACAGGAACACAAGCGCAAACCACCACCAGGTGAAGTTCCATACACCGCTATCCGACTCGCCCGCCTCCTTCATCATGCGATTGATGTTCTTTCCTAGCCAGATCATAGAAAAGCCAGAGATGGTTTGAATGGGCAAGATCCAGCTCTTCCTGCGTCCTATCCTAGGCGACCAGACTGCATCCACGATTGGACTCCACAGAAGTTTTAATGAGTATGGGTATGCAGCGAGCGAGAAGACACCGATGGCGGCGTAGGAAACGCTGTGCTTGAGTAAAAAGGGCACAGAGCCATGCGCCAGCCCCATTGGTATACCCTGGAGAAAGTATAGTAGTACCAATAGTAAAAAATTGCTTTGGTCCTTCTTGGAGAGCTCAAAAAAGCCCTTGGATGGCCCGTCCTCTTGCTCTCCTAGCTTGGGTACATCGTCGTCCAAGGAGAAATTTGAGTTGCCCATGAGCGAGGCAGCCTGGCTCGCGGGTGAGTCGCTTTCGAATGAGGCATGTTTGCGCCGATGTTCCAACATGACGCCGTTCATTGTCGCAGTCGTATTGGCATTGCCGTTTTTCTCCTGCTGTAGCGAATCGGTTGAGCTCTGCTCTTTTAGTACAGAGCCGCGGTTTTTGGATCGAGAGGCTCGTTTGCTCATTTGGGAGCGTTGCACACGTAGGTGAGATCGAGGAGTTGATGATCGTCAGGTAATCTCGCGTGGATCAAAGTTTCGGTTGTGTGAGTGATAGGAGTCGTGTAGGTGGACGTAAGCGGCCAGAGTGTCAGGATCAGGAAGAGCCGATGAGAACAAAGACAAACTGCCGTCCTTAAGTTGGGGTCCAGAGAGTGACTAGCAAATGAACACGGGCGTAATACGAAACGAAACGGCGGATATAATCGTGTCTTCAACCGTGTCCTCTCGAGCCATGGACGCGGCGGCGGCGGCACTTACTATGCAAGCGAGCGGAGCTTCCATCCCACCTGGATTGACCTACATCCCTGCTACCACTAATTCACGTGCTGACGCGCCGCATATGGGCAGACTGCACGCGCTAAACACAACCTTCTTGTCGCATTGAACAACTTCAACACAAACATGGAGCCTGCCGAACAACTCGATGAGGACATCAGCCAGCTCCAAACCCGTATAGCGCTTCTACAAGCTCACCGCGCAAACCTATCCTCAGTGCTACTGTCGCAACCCCACCTCGCAGCGCGTCTCCAGACCAGCAATCAACGCGACACACATGCGGAAACCACCAAGTGCATCATTGCCCAGCAACAAAAACGGAACCTCGAAAATGTATACCGCACCTGCGCTGGCGTCACAGCCTACAGAGTCAAGGACCCTGACCCAAATGCCATTAACAACGGCAACATCCTCGGCGTAAGCATCGATGTATCGATCGGCGCCAAGTTTGTTGAGACATACCATGTCTTGCTTAGTGTACGAGAGAAAGAAGACAAGAAGATCCTGAGTATACACAAACATACCATTCCGCCATGCATACCACTGCAGCAATTGGCCCACAAGTGGATACCGGGCAGCACCAAGGACGAAGAGACGGATCCTGAACAGGACTTGGTGCACTTTGGGCGACTGCTGAGGAAAGAGCTGGTGAGCTGGCATATGCGAGTAAATGCTGTGCAAGAGTTGCGCAAGGAGGCAGGGCTTGACAAGCCAAGGACAGATAGTGAAGAAGAGCTGGGGACTGCATCCTCAGCCAAAGTCCTCAACGCCTTCGTTAGTGACGACGAGGATAGCTCCGATATTGAGCACGAAGAAGACGATGACGACGTTGCTCTAAGACTACTTGACATTGAGACCGACGCCGCAGTAAGGCAGATGACAATTACCTTGTCAGACAGACGTACAGTGGTCATGAACATCACAAAGGACGGCCGAGTCGACAAGGTTGTATGCAGGACGAAGGATGGTAGGCGGGATGTGATGACGGGCAAAACCGCTATAGGTCCCCTGCATGGTCTGGTTCGCCGTTTGTTGTCATAATTAGCCTGTTGTTATTGGAGTGTCCGGAGTAAAAGGTGTTCGGTCGTTATGATACCCACATTCCTATAGCGGAAATATATATGCATATGCAGTAGGTTCACCGAGCCTTGATGCGTTGAGCTACCTAGTTACAACTGTAGTCCATTGAAGCTTTCCAAAAACCCACACACCCTCAACCGAAATTTGTTTGTATATAAGATCCTTCCGAATGACAAGCATGTTCATACAATTGCAAAATCGTCATGAGTTTTCTTCCTCTTGAAATCGTACATCCAAAGCCATCAAGACTTCTCAATCTCGTTTATCATCATCAGCAGGCCTTGGCTCCGTACTCAACTACAGACAGCTGTTAGTATCATGCTCCATGCCTTCTTTCGTCATAGTAACTCACCTGGTTCCCATTATAAAACTGTTGCGGCTCCCTAGCTCTCTGGTCCGCTAGTGTCCGCACTCTGATACCCGTGTTATCCAAAATAGGATCATGTTGAGGCTCTCGATTTGGCCTGGGCCCCATGGTATGCCCACTACCCTGCCCTTGCACTGGGGTTGAGCCAGTGCCAGTGCTAGGACCAGAGCCTAGGAATGAGCCCAACGTACTTCCTACATAGCCCACTGTTGAAGATATGAGGTCAAACGCGCCGCCTATCAGTCCAGTGGTTACTCCTACAGCACCGCTGTTATGCCCTGTGTAAGCTTGTGTATATCCCTTCACTGGTACAAGCACCAGTGTAGCGCTTGGTGCCATATCAATGTCACCCAATGACTGGCTCTCATCACCAGCTGAGAGCTCGCGACTCGGCTGAGGTGGTAATATGTGTCGGAAGAAATACGGTGGGAGTTGGCTGTGGTTAATGTTTTCGTCGTCCTGTGAGAGTTTTGAGAACTCCGAGTCAACCCACGACCGTACCTCGCCTTGCAGTGTAGCCTCTCGTGGAAATGTGGATCGTATCGTCCGGCCATCGAATAACCTGATATTGAGGTTGACGTTCTTAGCTTGTGATCCACGAGCCGATGTGTTTGTGCGTGGCGAAGCCGCCGTCTGCGCTGACTGATTCCTCTCTTGTTCTCGTTCGGCTTTCCGTCTCTCGGCTTCTATTTTCCTTGCTGCCTTGTCGGCCTCTATCCGTGCCTTGATACGTGCCAGTTCTTCCGCCTCTTCCTTCTTCTTCTTTCGTAACGCATCGCGTGCCTGTTGTTGTGCTTTACTGACAGAGCCAGACGATGTAGCGGGCTTTTGTTCTGGGGTTGATGTAGCTTTCTGTTTGCCCTTAGCGTTCGCGGAAGGCGTCGAGGCTACTGCTGGTGTGGGCATCGCAGACTCGGAGTCTCCGTACGGATCGTCTTCTACTTGGGTATTCGCCGTATTCTCTGTTGGTATTGGCGTGACTGCTTGTGGTGGGGATGTTGCCGCTGTACTGGATCCCGGGATGGGGCTGGCTCCAAGCACCTGCCTGATCGAATTGATGAAATCGTTCTGAGTGACGTCGCTCTTCAGCTGCAGTTGAAGTTGTCCGTTTTGGATGACTACGAGAGTAGGTATGCTCGAGATATCGGAGAAGGCTGCCAGGAATCCTGCTTCTGTGGAGCCTGCCTGGAGCCGCAAGAGGACAGCTTTTTGGACAAGAAGACTGGATAGCTGCACCTGGCGTCAGTTTATAGTTTATATATGACCAAGCGGTAGATATCTCACCCAGCCGCTCTTCAACCATTCCTCTTCCCACTCTTTACTCGTTGCGCCGTCATCTGTTCCGCTGATTAGAGGCGCCCCCACATTCCGAATGAGGCCCGGAATATACCTTGCACGAAGCATACGACAAGCTTCTGCTCTTGAATTGCAAGCGCAATACCGCTTTGTAGGCTGCCTTGGTGAAACATGGTTGGTTGCGCGTGGGGCAGAGAGAGGAGTCGTGGATATTCGCGGGGTGAGCTTGGGACGCGTTGGAGCCAGGATGTGCCAGCACGAGCGGCAGGGCGTGCGAACTGCCGCGGGAATTAATTAATCTACACGGGCTGTACCGAGGCCGAGTGAACTGCTGCGAGCATGAACAACGGGGTCTGGGGTCGGATTCACAATTACCTTCTCTTGCGTCACAGTTTTACAGAATCGGGCATATGTAGTTTGGTCAGAAGGAAAAGTAATGCAATAAACTGTTCTATCGGGAATGCTAAATCCATTTCCTATGATTCCTCCGCGCCAAAGAAGAGTAATGCCACAGAAAGCCAATACTAGACTCCTGATATCCAACTGCATCGAGCCGAAAGATGCCGCAAAGCAAATGCTATTTCACTTAAATGAAGACATATGCTGAGTGGAGCTCCTGCTTGATCTGCGCTTCGTAGGAAGTCACCCATCTTCCCGCTCGTGTCATCGCCAGCATAATCCTGTGGGCAGGCGTTACTCTGGACCAAGTTGCAGGATGTATAGGTGGATATTCACGCTTTGGCCCGTCCTCGATTACACCAAAATCTTCCCCCCGTTTCTCTCTTGAGCTTCTTATAGGATGGTGCACTTCTTCTTCTGGTTCCTTGCTGACGCTTGTTGAGGGCGGGGGCTGAGGACGGCGCTGTTTCATGTAAGCAGAAGCTTGCGAGCGAGCTTGGGGAAAACATACCGGATTGCCTCATCAAAAACGCTCTTGAGGTTGCGCTGCGTGAGCGCAGAGCATTCAAGGTACTTTTGCGCCTTGATCTCCTTTGCCACCATGACGGCTTGCTCGTATTGAATGGGCGCCATCTTCTTCTGTCTGAGCGACTCCTTGGTCGCTTCGTCATCCCTCAAGTCAAGTTTTGTGCCAACGAGGATGATGGGTACACCGGGCGCGTGATGATCTATCTCTGGGTACCACTGGGCATCTGTCAGCGTGCATCTAAGCTCGACGAATCCGATGCGTCTTTACCTTTGCCTTGACGTTGTCGAACGATGGAGGGCTGACGATGGAAAAGCAGATGAGGAAAACATCCGTCTGGGGGTAGGAAAGCGGTCGCAGCCTGTCGTAATCCTCCTGTCCAGCAGTATCCCACAGTCCCAAGCTTATTGGCTTTCCATCCACCATGACATTTGCAGAGTAGTTATCGAAGCTGGGCGCGTTAGCTCAAGCTCGCCATGGGAGCGGCGACACACATACACTGTAGGGATGTATTCGCCTGGGAAGGCGTTGGTCGTGTACGAGATGAGAAGACATGTCTGGCGGGTTAGCAGGCTCAGACGCGGTACAGGGAGCGCGATGTCTTACTTTGCCTACAGCACCGTCACCTGTCACGACGCACTGGAGAGCTGTCAGCAACCAACGACCATGTTGCACAAAAGAGACTGCGTGCAGCAGAGGCGCACCTTGAGAGATTGGGTCGCAGGAGCAGCCATAGTGGTGGTATTACGTGTGTCGTCTGATTAACCTTGGACAAGACGTTCGGACCCAGCTCGGCGAGGGAATGGGGCGGCTTCCGAGGATGGCGAAGCGAATAGCGGAGGTTTGGAGACCCTGCAGGTGATGGAGTCAGACTGGAGACTGTGAGGCGGTTGAGGAGTGAAGGACGAACCGTTGGAGCAGGTCAACAACTTCCGAGTAGCTTCTAAGAGGACTGCGGGAGCTATCTGCAGCGTAGGGGGGCGTTTTATCGCTTGGCGGCGGCGGCGGGTCAAGAAGCGAACTCGAAAGCTGGATGATATGCACGATGCGCGAGTCGAAGCAGCGCGGGCCAACTGGGGCCTGGCGGCGGGGTCCGAGTCGTGGATAGCTGCGGCAGCAGTTACAAAGCAGCACTTCAGGTCGTCTTGGGTGTATGTAATCTCAATTCTCAATCAATGCCAGCCGATTTGGGAGAAAGAAGGAGTCAGAGTGCAGTCAGAGTGCAGTCAGAGTGCAGTGCAGTGCAGTGCGTCTTGTGTGTGTGTGAGAGCGAGAGCGGTGCGATGAGCTATTTGGCAAAAGACTGGCAGGCGCGTATGGTCTTGAAACCGATTTGCGACACACTGCAGAGGCAGGCCTCTACTGAGTCTGATAGGTAGGGTGCCAGGGTGTCATGGCTCTCGTTTGGGCCGCCTAGATGGTCCTGGTCCCGATTCGCAGCAAGTGGCCGGCGCTGCAGAGACGAGCGTGCGAGCTTTGCCTACCTGCCTACCGTAGCGAGCGCCCGTCATGCATGGGACCAGGACGACGGTGGGACGGTGGAAACTGTGGAACTGCTGCTGCGGCATTGCATACCGCGCATGCCGAGTGTCGCAGCGACAGGCACCCTTTCACCACAAACTACACAACTGCAACGACTATCTACCGCCGGCAAACAACAGCCGCGCCTCGTGTGAGCCCTGCCCGCAAACTTATTCGCCGTCTTCTAGTGTCGTGATTCGCCTGCAGCTGCATATTTCTGCTCGCCAGTGTGACCGTGCGCCCGACTTATTAGCCGTACTAACTTCACCAGACACCTGAAAGCATACATTAACATTCGAGCCCGCACTGTTCCCCAAAAGGGAGACGCGACCCTGCGCGTGTGCCATGCCAGACCTTGTTTAGCCACTGTCTCGACACATCCCGTCTGCCGCCTAGTGCATGTGCGAATAGCCATTGTCGTTGTTTCTTGCTGCACCCATCATCATCATCGAGCCATCTTCCCCACAGACTAAGCCGCCCACGATTGCATTTCATTGGCTATCTGCCATAGCTTGCCTGTCTAATGCCTACATCCCACATCCCCAAGAGTTACCCGCTTCATTAGATTAGTAGAAGAGAAATAGTCCGTCTCCGCCCTGCTTGTCCTCGCCGACAAACTCTTTCCGCAGAAGCAATTTGATCACTGCCTCATGGAGATCTTTCATGTCAAGGATGCCGCGCTTCTTCTGGTCAATGTACGACACATCAACCACCACTCGCTTCAAGTTGACCGTTGAGAGAGCCCCATCCTGGAGTAATGCTGTCAGTCGATCGGGTGTCCCTACCCCATAGTCAACCCTGTCGTTCTGTCAGCATAAGCCACCCAAAAAAGACTATCTTCGAACGCACTTGCTCCTCTTAAGATGTGCTATTTGATCCGGCAGTTTGAGATGCTTTGCGAATAGCTTGGCCACGTTCGGTGCTTTGACGCCTTGCTTAGGCAGTCCTGACTTGAGAGATCTACAAACATCCGCTGCTCGAATTCCAGATACCGTGACTACAATCGTGTGCGGTGCTCCATGTGGCTTCGGTGCTGTCGGCTCGAGGCTTCCTGCCTGCTTTTTTAGGAAAGCTGATAAATTGTCGGTAGTTCGTGGTTCGGTCCAGCTACTACTATCTTGAACCGTGCGGGCTGCCTTTTGTCAGCTTGGGTCGCGTGAAAACTCGGCGCGCACATACCAGAAATGAACTTGTCCTCAAGTTCAACACTACTCAATTCTTTCCCGTAAAGTCGAGTTCGTGCATTCACATAATCCGCCAGGAGCTGGCCATCCATGCGCTCAAAAGAATGATTGACACCCAACTCCTGGTCCAAGTCATCTTCGTCGATTTCTTTGGCCTTCTGTTTCTTCTTCTCTTTCCGTTTCGCTTTCTTGGCCGCTTTTTTGCTGTCTTTGCTGGCCTCGGGCTCCGCTTCTCTTTTTCTTTTCTTGGACGAAGCGTCAATGTCAAACTGTGCCTCGATCAGGGGTACGCCTCCTTCTGATTCAGAATCGGACATGATGTCGCTAGTGTTTTGTGTGGACAAAGATGCGACCAAGAATTCGTGCAACAGAAAAAGTTACAGGTGATTAAAGTTATCGATAAGCAGCGACCTACCCCAGTTGAGACTAGTTCTGAGGCGCGCCGGGGAAGTCGCGTCCAAGCGACGCGTTTCCCTGACGTCTATCAAGACTCCCACTAGACGCTTTCAAACGCCGCAACCACAATGGCCAATTCAGCGCGCAAGAAACAGCATCTCTCTCCGGAGCGCCATGTACAAATGACTCCGCGCAATGATGCGCCCCTCCAGCTCATCACACCGTTTCGCCGCGCCATTAGTGCAGGCCCCACCCCCGGGAGCAGAAGGACGCCAATTGCTCGCACACCAGGTACGGGACGAACACCTCGAGGCGGGCCGGCAACCCGTCCCATTTCTTCACGAAGGATAGCTCCTACAACTCCGCATGCGATCAGAGCATTGCGCGAGCGAGCCAATGCAGCAAGAACACCGGGCAATAATCGGAGAAGAAGTGGACGCATACAAAGAGAGACCCCGCGGGACATATTGCGTGATCTAGCCAGAGGTATTTAATGTAAACTCGCTTCCCATTTGCCCAACTAAATCATGTTGTAGTGCTTGCCCGCGATAGTCGTCCTGTAGAACCCTCTCCGCAACTCCCACCCCCGAGAACACGACACTCAGCTCTCGATCTTCCCGATGTCGAAGATGGCCCACATATCGCTGCTCCCCGACTCTCCATGCCCCTTGATAACATGTACGATGACGAGGATAGTTTCCACAGCGCACCACCACGGCAATCGCTTCTCCCTGACCTACCTGACGATGTCGATGGCGGGACCGTACAGTCTCTCGAGTTTGGACGTAAAGCCATCAGTGAGGATCCGCGCATGTTTGGAGGAAGACAGAGCGAACGGTTTGGAGACTTGAGTGAGCTCGGTGCAGTGGAAGAGGAGTACGAGATCGATGGTACATTCATCAGCAGACGTGCAGATGGATTGCTTGATCAGACAATCGATGGAGGGTTGGACGAGGACGATACGACGACACAAATGCGTGCATTGACTGGGCGGAGAGACGGACGTCCAAGTGATGTGAACCTGGGTGTTTTTGGCGAAGTCGAAGACGACATGGACGAGCCCACTTTCCGCTTCCAAATACCCGAACGTATACGTTTGCCGGTGCAAGAAGACCAACGAGAGGGACAGAGAGATCAGGAAGTTGAGGAAGACCAGGACAGGGATATTGGTCCACAGGATCTACCCGATGATTCGGAGATGCTAGACGACAACGAGCAGGAGAATGAAACCTTAGCTTTGGACCGCAACAATCTCATCGAAGATGACGGCATGCTAGGCTGGGAATCAGATCCTCCGGAAGATGATGATGCTGAACTAGCAGCCTATCGAGAAGAGGAATCGGCGATAGACCGCAGTCTACAAACAAAGTCGCCCGAACAACGCCCTCCGGTGCAGCTAAAGGGCGTCCGGAAGTCCAAAGAATACATGGTCTCGGCGCATGGCATTGGGTACCCTTCATTCCCGGCGGCATCAGTCAAGAAGCTCGCCATGGGTTTCATGAAGTCGCAGGGGAGCAAAGGTCAGCTCAATAAAGAAGCGCTCGATGCTCTCGTGCGTACAACCAACGACTTTTTTGAGCAGATTAGCGGCGATCTCGCGGCATATGCACAACATGGCGGACGGAAGATGATTGAAGAAAGCGACGTCGTAGCGCTTATGAAACGGTATGTTGTACATGATCTAACCTACATTCAAGTCGGTTCACTAACGACGAGCAGAACCCGGACGACTACAGACAGTAGTACGTCGTTTTCGCTAGCGCAAAAAATGCTTCCTAGAGAACTACTCCAGCAGCTACGCATGGAGCCACCAACCAAGCTAAAGGGCCAAAAACGGAAGCGGCTAAATCCTGTACAAGAAGAAGAGGATGATGACGAGTAAAAGGCGATGATAGTATTTTACGACCAGTCAACACTGTGTCGTACTCGTCGTTGAGTGCCCGACATGGGCTTTTTAACGACCATCCAAAACATGACCGAGGTTGCGAAGCTCAACGCGTACCACGTGAAGATGTACTGCGTATGGTTATTCCGCAGGTTCACGGTCGGCGCTCTTCCAATTGGTACACCTTTTGGCTCACGCTCATAGTTTGTGAGCAGGTCCGGCGCTGTGGAAACAATTAGATACCCCAATTGCATGTGTTCCAATATATCAAAAGTACTCACTCATTGTTTCCTCCACCCACACAGGCTGGCTTCCACTGTATTCTGCCATCTCCTCGACGCTGGGGAAAAACCACTTGCCCTTCTCAGGTTCGTTCTTGGGCGTAAACATGTTTCCCTTGGGTGGTATCCTCAGCAGACCCTCAATGGTAACATCGCCTTCTGGCAGCGCACCATTCTTCTTGCGAAACCATTGCGGACTCGCTTCCTTCTTAATCCAACCTCTACACGCCAGTATCTTGTGCACATTGCCCCTTGCATCTTTGCGCTCCAAGGGCGTCACAACCGTATACCCCTCCTCGCCGTCCAGAATGCGGGGCCCAATCAACATTTCCTGATCATGTCTCAACACGCCCGTGGCATACACCTTTCTATAATCAAAGTCCTTGACAGCCTCTGGATCAATTCTGAGCGGCAGCTCCAGCGGCGGAAACGTCAACCTATCCTCAAACCGCGCAATCAGATCCGTCTTCCAGCCCAACCTCTGCACCTGCCAACATCCGAGCAGGAAAGCGGTGACGGGTATAATGGCGAGGATGATGAGGCCCGGGCCGTGCTGTTGGCCTGCGCGCGCCATTTTGGTGGGACGATCGAGGATGGAAACGAAGTTTGGGTCTAGGCCTGGTCCGCCGCCTACGTAGCGTTTTTGCTGCCGGAAGAGCAAGACATGTGGTTGGAAGCGCGTGCATCGACATTGTGGACGGGTTGCGGATTGGAAGCGTGGGGTTCGTATCGAGGTACGAAGGTTTTGCGTGTGATATCTTCGGAAGAGATTGAGCAGGGGGTTTAGTTTCGACATTTTGTGCGTCCCCCTCTCCTTTGTTGTGGTGGGGGTGGGGTGATTGCGATTGGGTGGGGATCGAGATGCGCAATGGGAAACTTGGATGAAATGATGTTGGCTATCCGAGCTCAGCTTGTCTTTCTAGCTCTCGATGCGGTATAGTCCCCGCAGCAATGCATGGGTGCCCAGATGTACATCCATGCATCGCTCACCACTCGACCTTTGAACGACCGTTTACCTTGCTTTACCCCTCCATCACGCTTGATCTGAAAAGCTGAGATCATGATGGATGTTCAAGAGATATCGCTGAATCGTGCCGAGATTGCGGCGAGGAGAGACAAAGATGACTTGCTTGCTTATTTGGATGATCTGCTCGAGCACTATCTCAATACGTTGCACGAATATCACAAAGTCATGGGTGAGCTGTCGACGCAACTCTCTTCGGTATGTTAGAGCGAGAAGGGGAGAGAGGTAGATTTACCACTAACAGTAGTAGGGATACATGTCACTTGCCCAGGCGAACTTCCACAATTCCTCCTCTGCAATTCGATACGGACAGGACTGTTATGATGAACGTATGCAAGCAATACGTAAAGTGTAAGTACTCTTATGGTATCTGTAAACTCATGTGTTCAATTTCGTTGGTTCAAATATCCAGCTCTCGAATTGCTTACATCCAAATGCTGACAACTGCAGTCACGTTGCCGAACACGGGCGTCTCCTAACTGACCGTCCTCACTTCTCTATCCATCCACCTGACGCTACTCCTCGAAGCAGAAAAGCCCCGGTTTCTGAAGAACAGGAGCATCAACCAGAAGACGAGGGAGTTGAACTTTCATCAGCAACAAAAGACGAAGCAGAGACGACCCCTGATGCAGACCAACGATCGAACCAAGACCCAGAGGAGACTGAAAAAGAGAAGAAGTCAAGTGAGAAGATTGCTGATCCGCTCAAATGGTTCGGAATCCTCGTTCCGCCCGCTCTCAGAACTGCACAGTCGACATTCGTGTCTGCAGTAGAGGGCCCGATTCCACAGCTCGCTACTATAGCAAAGGATCTGAGAACGCAGGAAATTGAAATTGGACGGGTGAGGAAGCAGATCAAGAAGATGTAGAGTAGGTGTCTTGAGCAAGTCAGAGCACAACCAAATATTAAATCGGGCTGCTGAACAAGCACCATTAGCGTTATGAGTATACCCACAGGCTGTTTGATCATATGCCTTGATCCATACCCGCCCCCAAAACGCCACCCAATGCATATCCCTCACCTCTTCACCACAACCACATCTCTCCTCTAAACTTCCTTCATGAGCTCTTCCAACTCATCGTCGTCATCGTCCCATCCACCACCCCTCCTGTTCACAACGATCTTCTGCTCATCCTTCTCCTGCGCTTCGGCCACAGCACCCAGTATTTCCTTCAACTGCTCTTCAGTGACTTTTTGTCTCAGTTGGCCCGTTCGCGCGAGCATGATGAGTCGATTCTCGATGTCGGTTGCGCGGGATTCCTTGACGAGGCGGATGCGGCCGAGACGGTCTGCGGCTTCGGGGAGGAGAATCTGCGAGAGGATGGAGGAGCGTTGGTCGGCTGGGGTAGGGTTAGTGTTTAGTTTGTTTGTGAGTGATGGTGGTGGTGGTGGGGTCGCGTGTGTGAAGGAGGGACCGTTGGTGGGAGAGTATGGACAGCTGGGGACATACCCTCTTGTTGCCTGTGGTTTTAGACTTAGTATATGCTCATGTTTCTGCGAATGTGCAAAAAAATTACTTTCGCGAATCTTGCTCTGAGCCCTCCCCGCCCTGGCCTCGTCCCCCGCCTTGCTGCTGGAGCTGTTGCAGGCGCGCGCGTCTGATTTGCTCGAGATCTTCGTCGGACATGCTGGCTTGTTGTAGCGGTTGCTGGGATTTTTTTTTCGAAGTGAACAGTCACGTAGATTGGTTGTTGGCACAGGCGCAAACTGGGCTGAGCAAAAGTGTGTTATGCGGGGAAGTTCGGGGGTCCGAAGTTCACATTGCAATGGGCACGGATCATCGGCATCCCTGCTTTCGACTTCCATGAAACTTGGTACTCACTCGCAACCATTAAAGAGGGTTTGTTTCTTTGGGATCAAACAGAACATACAACCAAGTCAAATCGTTCCTGAAACAAATCATATTTTGCACTGCGCATCATGTGCGACTCTTGACCACTTCGATAGCACTTGTTATACTGGCCCTACTGAAGTCTTCGTTCTGTTACTCATAGCCTGAAATATGTTCTCGCTCATAGTATGCTGTATCTGTGCATATGAAACGAAACATTCAGTTCACCACCACTAATTGGCGTGGAACCAACCTCGTGCCATGACTGAACAGATTATCGGGGTCATATTTGTGCTTCAACTCCTCCAGTCGCTTCACATTGGCGCCGAAAATCTCCTTGGCTTCAACTTCAGCACCTATGAAAATTAGTACCACGTTGATAAGTGTAGCATCCGTAAACTGAGCAACGTACCTGCCACATAATTTGCATATTGGCCAACTCCACCGTCATTCGAACGATCCGCAGCAGTCGAGGAGATCTTCTTCAAGAGGTTGCGCGAAAACGAGCGGATTTCTCCATCGAGGGATGGATCGAACCTGTCTCCTAGTCAGTGTCTATCTCTTCAGTCATGAGGTCATACCCACCACTTGAACATGGTAGCAACGTTGTAATAGTCTCCTCGGTTCGAGAAGGACGTCTTGTCGTTGGGCACCTCTACCACTTTCTTATACGGAATGGTTTCGAACAACATCATGCTCTCGTTCATGCGTTCATGGGAAGCCACAAAAGCGTTGAACTCGGCGTGTAGTTGCACAGCGAGATTTGCATCTAATGGCAGCTTGAAAGCTCCGCCACCGAATTGTTTGCGCCCGTCAAAGCCAGCTGATTGATTGAGAAGACTGTTCAGCTTCTCGTAGGGGATCATAGCTGTCATATTCGCTATGGGACCGAGCTCGAAAAGATCAGCGAAAAAGGCTTTTCCCTCTTCTTCACTGCCGTTATGGAAGAGCTGACAGAGTACAACTGGCGCGTTCGCAGGTGGTGGTGCAGAGAATCCCCATAACAGGGCTTGGTTTCCGTCGTTGGCAGTATGGAACTTGTTCGCGAACTCGACAATTT